ACTCTCACCTTAAACCCAGATCCACAAACAGCACTTACAGATTTTGAGGTTAGAAAACTTCTAGACTTACTGAACCTAGCCAAAAAGCTCCCTGATGGATTTCAATCCGGCCCTAGAATACTCCAAAACCCACTACCTGGGTCAGGAAACCCCGTGCCCGCTTCCATACCCAAGAAATGTAAGACTCATACACGAGCAGCTCTTCTAGTAGAACAACCGGAGAAACCTTCAGATCTGGTCAAATCCTCAATCATTTGTAACCAGTCTTACTAGTTCTGATTTTGATCCTACTACTTTAGATCAAACTAGGAAGCGACCAAATTGGCCACAGTGAGCAAATGCATTACATGCCGAGTATCAATCCCTCCGCAAGCGTTCAGTGTTTGGGCCACTTGTAACAGATCTTACAGTCAAACCCATATGTCACAAACTTATATTCACTAAAAAACGTGACGAACATGGAACCGTGATTTGTTACAAGGTACGCCTAGTTGCACAAGGATATACTCAAAAACCAGGAATTGATTTTGACTAAACATATTCCACTGTCATGGATAGTACTTCATTCCGCTATCTCTTAAGCCTAGCTGTACAACTGTCACTTGAAACACGTCTCCTAGATGTTGTCACTGCCTATCTCTATGACAACTTGGATACATATTTGCATATCAAACCTCCAATAGAGTATGTGCCACGCCTGCCACCAGTCCAACCATGACATTTTCACGGGCTACGCATCCGGAAGGCTCTCTATGGCTTGAAACAAGTCGGAAGAGCATGGTATCATCACGTGAAGTCCTATTTGATTTCTAAATCATCCTGCTTTACCATGCATCTTTGTTTTGAAGGAAGATAAACAATTTGTGATCCTCGCGGTATATATTGATGATTTGAACTGTATTGGAACATCATTAAACAATCATGTTGAATTCATACTAACTAAACACTTTGAGATGAAACTGTTAGGCAAAACATCATATTGCCTTGGCCTCAAAATTACTCATCCTGTAGATGGAAGCAGTATTCCAAGTATCTCTAAATATAGGTAGGGTTTACCCTAACCCTACCAATAGAGTATCTCCAAAGGAAGGGAGGGTTTACCCTAACCTCAAGAAGCATCGAGATTTCTAACCGCAAGTATCTCTATTAATAAAGGTACACTAATCCTCACTCCCATATAAATATGGTACTGTAACACCCTCCGAGGTCATTCAATATATTTTACTTTGAGAATATTTACTGAGAGCACTGTCCAGAGGGAGAGATCCGAGAGCATTGTTTCTTTTGTCTCACTATTTTGATCTCTTTTAGTTTTCCTTTTCACAACAAAATTAATGCTTATATATTATGACTCTCTCACTTACATAATCTGAATCTAGTGTTATCTTATTCATCAAATACACCTTAGTGTAGGCCTCATAAAATTAGACGTTCTAAAAATATACTCCTAATTAGCCTAATTTAAATGAGCCAAACGCCTAAAAGAAGTAAAAATCATAAGTGATGTGCATTGCGGCCAAGGAGTGATATGATGATGCAGTGGCGCCACATAGAGTCTGCTTGGTCTAGCTTAGGCGGTCCGGTGCAATTCTTGGCAGGTCAACACCTTCGGACGCCTTGACGCGTTCAAAAACAAATTGACATGGGACAAACCGTGAAGATGAGAAAGACAAGCAGTACACCGTCTCGCACAACACCGTTTTAGCAGAAATATTTGCATCTCATTGACTATTTGCAAGAAATATTTGGCTGAATTTGGCCTGGACATCACACCATCGCAGCACAATAGCGTTGTGACATGTGTCGTCTACCTGTTCTGCAAGCAGCTAGACAGCTTGGCGCCACGGAAGACGATGATTGCGAGCGCAATCAAACCAACATCATCAAATACTGGATTCTGCAGTTTTGCAAGAAGAAATAGACTTTGCCGATCATCACACGTCGGAACACCATGATGATTTCGCTGAGTTCAAGGCTCTAAGTAACGAAGAAAGGAAAAGAAAAATTTTGATGCTAGGAAGCGTACATTAGAATCAGTGCACCGATATCTTAACTGAATGCAGACGGTGTTGATCATCCCCATATCGAGTGATATTGTCGAGTTCATCATTGGCGACATGTTTTCCAAGCCAAAGCTAGACTAGAAGATGAAGCTGATCATTAAGACCAGCAACGCGATCTTGTACAATCTGACTTTACATCACACATCAATTGGTTTTGTTGTGTATTTTGGCGTTTATTATATTTAGCCATCGGCCTAGGGTTAGTTGTGGTACATTTGAGTGTGTACGTTCTCGTGTGTGAGAGTATTATTTCAACGATGTAGATTGTATAGCGATATACATATTTGCATGTTAGTTTGTTGTTCAAATCGATTTCAGTTGTGATCGAACAGCACAAGGACGTGTTTGGTAACAAAAAATTGGTGGACCTCAACGATCACGAGGACGGCAAGATGATCCGCATCAATGTCAGCGCCAACCTGCAGTATCTGTCTGATGTTCTGAATCAGGTCTGATGTTCTCGCTCACCGGCGATGGGAGTATTCATCAAAGCGTGTCATTCTTTGACGAGCGCATCCGCGTTTGTGTCGGCGGTCGCTTGTTCAACATCTATTTGGTAGTCATTTCATTCTACAATTGCCACTCAGCCATAAACATCTTCAAGACGCTCAATCAGCTCTGCAGTTCTTGGTGGCACAAGCTGTTGTCGATTAGCACGGATGGTGTGAACAACATGATCAGATGGAAAGGCGGATTTGTGACACTCATGAACAAGGAGTCTGCCAAATAAACCGGATAAACCTCGTCATTCAGAACGCAGTGATCATGATCAACGACTACGCATTCACCAAAACGACACACAACTTCACGATGCATATCCGCCAAAAGTACCAATTTACAACTTGTGATGGGCAGCAAGTGTCCAAAGGACACAAATCGCTTGACATACTTTCAAGGCCAATTGTAGTGGCTGCTGACACACCACATTAAGTTGCTGGAGTGGATAGAGCAGCGGCAGCACGCCTCGTCGCCAACTTTCGAGTACTCTATCATCGCCTGCGTCATCAACCCTCTCGCCGAGGCGTATACTATAACGCTAGTCAATTTGCAACAACACAACCTTTGTCTGTCGCAGCAAATCAAATACATGGAGCAGCTGGTCCTGATTATTCTCCTGATGGTCGACATCCAGCATGAAGACAACAACGAGGCGATGCAGAGGAGAACAATTATCTTGAACTTGGAGTGTAGTGGATCACGTTCAAGGATGTCCTCGTACATGTTAAGGATCAGGGGCCTAGGTCAAGAACCTGTTCATGTTACTGACCGATGAAGACCAGATCGAAGTGTTGCGCGAGATCGTTGGATAAGCGTTGCGCCTTGTCAAGGGCTTTGTTAGTTGTACAAGGAGAACGCGACAGCCGCAACAACGCGACGGTATAGCTTGCGCCGCCCTTCTTTCCTCAACATCTCTTAGCAATAGCATGACATCTTGTAGAGATGTTCAATGAAATAATCTTTCATCGATGTTCAATGAAGTAACAAGATAGTAAACGCCTAATTTTCTCGCACAGGAAACATCTAATTTAGCTTATTTTGTTTAAATTAGGCATTCCTTCAATTTTATGAGGCCTGCCTTAATGTGTCCTTGACACATAAACCCCATTATCATATAGGAGATAACTAAGGTTTCGTCAATTTACACATCAAGACCACATCTTCATTTTGTACATTTTTATCGTGCCACATCATTCATTCAAAAACTTTGATTTTTTGCCAAAATCTTTCAAGCCTGTTTCTAGTATTTGAAGAGTACAAAGATGAGACCCTCTCCTTCGAAAATCTGCTAGATTTTGAGTAGAAGGTCATTTGGTCCAACAAAATTTGAGGTAGGCTTCACTAGAGGCCAAAATTTGAGGTAGGCTTCACCTAAACCCTACCTCATCCGTTGTCCATTCGTGAATATTTCACGAATGGATAACGGTTGTTGCCCTCTTACTCAGCAAATACTAGCCGCACTTGCCCAAAATGGAAGCATGAGGCTGCTGGAACTTAGTGCAAGGTACAACAAATGATGTGATTCAAATTGAATAAAGAAAACTAGGATTTTGATTCCAAAGGACATCGTAGACATGTGCAAAAGGTTTGTATGTCTCTCAAGAACACAAAACTATTGTGAATTTGAGTGGAGATCCTCGTTTGATTGCACTCGTGATCCAACTGAGTGGACCAGCTAACAACTCTTCAGAGTAGTCTTAAATCCTAAAGAACTAATTCGTAGCAAAGACGGTGTGTTGTCACCTACCAACTCTGCAGAGTAATCTTAAATCCTAAAAAACTAACTCGTAGCAAAGATGGTGTGATGTCACCTTACAATGTCATATATTGCTTGGAAGCACATTTATTTGAGACATAAAAATTCTGAGTTTTATCCTCCCAACAGAGGTCCTACACCTTTTAACCTATGCCGGTCTACAGAATTACATAAAAAGATCACATCTGTTGGCCTCCCAAGATCATCAGATCACACTTTGATAGTTTGTTCTTGACTATCTGAGCGCCAGTTCCTAGAAACCAGTGAAGAAAGTCCTGAAAATAAGGGATATAGTATCTTACAAGATATACTAAAAGAGGGTACACCAGTAATCCAGTTACTCGATACGTTCTCTCAAAACATAAATGACTAGTACGCAACGATAGAAACATCTGCACGTTCGCAATCGGGTTCTGTTATACTACTCACAACAAGCTGAAATGAGATGACATTCCAACACGCTTTGCGGCCAGTAACGTTCACGCGACTCCATAAACTCAATGGCTTGCAGGTACTTCTCTACAACAATACCACGTCCTCAAGTGTAGAACCTAGTACATACTTGATTCAAAAGGCAGACGAGTACACAAACAATTCATTTATACCTTTCCATTACTTTACAACTGCTTTAGGGCACACTCAAGCAATAATTCGAATTCCAGCGGCAACAAGACACATGTATTCACAATCGAAAAACTTCACTTAAGTCGATTCCAACCTCGATGTGAATCACGGACTGAACCCGAACTTCAACTCTCTTATACAGAGCCGATGTTCTCACTCGATTTGGAAAAAATACATGATTCTTGGCCTTGCGCTACAATGAAAAAGTCTCGGAACACCAGGTCATTGGTGATTCAGGCAACTGGGCGACTCTCACTCATCGCCACAAGTTTGCAAACTATCCTCAGCAGAAACCATAAAGTAGAGCTACAAATAACTGACTAAATCAATGCTGGAACCCCAAAAAGGTGCTCACCCCTTCGCACCTCTTATTGATTCAAGTTGGGGTATGGAGCGGGGGTAACCATGTTGCTCCTCTGACTTCTTTGTGACCTTAAGTAGCTTTCTCTATACGAATGGACTGACAAATGCCTGCAAGCTAGAGGAACTGGACTTCCTTAGTCAAGACGTTATTCTTCAGCTCACTACCCACTGCAGATAGACAAATTTCACCGGCAACGAAATCAAATGTCCTTCGCAATACACGCTAAGCTGTCTTTATTGTCTTTATCCAAGATATGAATGGGGGTTACCTCAACATTAACTACAGAAGCTTTTCTTGCCTTCACTTCCCAGAGAACGCTGTTCTGAGGTCATATCCGTCTGTTCAAAGTCATGTTTGTATGCCTCGGGCCTCCGTGGCTGGATGAAAACTGAATACTAGGTTTACAGCATTCCCTGGTTCAGCCGATGTTACTGTCATGACCAAGCAGTGGCAGCAAACGCTCTTCCAACCTGGCTGGACAAGATCTTCTGTCACACAACTTGATAATGTTCTGAAATAGCAGCTGCCGCCGCCTTAATCCATGTTGCAGCAGCAAGAGCTCCGGGATCTGGTACGGTTGCGAGAATTTCGGATGTCACATAGTTTGATCGACCAGCCTGGCACAAACCAAGATTTGTGGATGTTTAGTATAGCTGCTGATGTGGAAGACATAAATAACTTCAACTCTTCTTTAAGTTGTTTGCCCCAATGACTCATGTTGTGTATCAGTAATAGGTTTAGGAAATCACCACTCCTGGCATTAACTTCGTCGCTTCTACCCCTTTTTCTGCCGCATCTGCGGCTGCAGCGAAAGCTCTCACAGGATCAGTGCCCGCATCGAGCGCCTGCAATCAAACACTCAGGTCAGTAGGTAAATCTTTCAAACGCGTTTGGCTTTTAGCTACAATTGACACGGTCCCCGTCGAGGTTCAAAGTCCACAACGTTCAATCACATTCATTATTAAGGTTGATTTCTGGACTTTAATGTCAAAAGCACGCCCTAATAATTATATTAAAACAAAAGAGATAACTCTTACTCCTGTCAGTTTGAAACTTTTAAGAGAGGAACATACAGTCCTGTCCTGTTTAAGGTACATTAACCTAATCTATGAGACATTAAGGTCGGATGAGAACTGACTTCTCTCAATGCCGTGGACGCAGGGATAAGAGCATCAAGGAGAGTCCTTTGATTAATTTTTGCACCACCGTATGCGCTTACAGCGAGATTCGCAGCTTCAAATGCCGATGACCCTGAGAAAGAAACCATACGGACATCGATTAACCTCCTGATGTAGGGGCAACGCATCTGATTAGACCAGTGTATGACTGCTGGGGCTGTGACAGACTGCTACTATCAAGTGTTACAGTACACTGAAGCTGTACTGTGAGCCGCAGATTCTGGGTTGATCAAAACAAATACCAAGGACGTGATCCTACATGAATGGAGGTTTAAACAAGAAGATCCAATACAGTCCAAGTCGACGAGCAAAAGCAAAAACAAATCGTGAATGACGACGGGCGTTCGGCAATTGACAGATTTGAAGAGTAAATCTGAAGGGTGCCAAGGAAGGGAAGTGCTAGAATAGATCCTGTCAATGCTGGAAGTGAGCTTGGATGTATACATCGGCATTTTGCAAGTACTCAAGACGAGCGGAAAACGGCCATGATGAATGTAAGGAGACAGACTCAGACAATCAACTGAACGTAGCTGCACAGGGAGAACGTGATTAGGCAAAGAGAGCATACAATCAAAGAACGCTCAACAAGAACAATGCAGTCAAACAACAGCCACAGTAACGTTCAAAAAAAGTAATCAATTTGTATATGAGGTACAAGCAATAGAACTAATCCAAGTCCTTTATCTGTTATTTTGATATATTAAACCAACAGGAATTTTGTCTATGTTGCAAAATAAATGACTCCAAAAAAAGGAATTGCATGTATTTGTAGTCTGATTGCAAGACGCCTTCTTTTCGTTATCTGTTCACATCTCATTCTACGATGAGTATGTTACTCCTAGACACTGTTCTCAAACGTTCATTTCTCGTGTGGCCTTAAAACCAGATATCATATACACCGTGCATATGAGCGACTTGCATATTCGTGCTAGCGATAGTAACTGAGATTAGCAAATTTTCTTCCTATAGTTGGTGATACCATCTGTTGGGACTACTAGGGAAGAACAGAGTCAATGACCGTTCCAACCACGTTGGGGAAACAAATCAGTGATTTTCAGTCAAGTTCAAGTCGATGCAAATAACACTCCAAGATGCACTTACAGGCTTTAGCACTGGTGGTAGGTGACGGAGTCTCCATTAGGCGGGCGTAGGCAGCTCTACAGAAGATGTCGTATCTGATGACACACGAAATGAAATTGTCAACCACAAGGCCCAGCGACGTGGCGTAACGTCCAAACAGAAGTATCAAGTGTGGACTTCGACATCGTCACGTCATACAATACATCCGACTGTAAATTCTTCTATATTAGGTAGAAGGCTAACTAAAGAATCCAGTCACAAGGAAGCTCAAAAGAACTTTCAAATGCGGTTCTTTTGACAATTGCTGAAATCCGATTAAAGATAGAAGACATGCTGACTTAGTTCTAAGAGCGCGTGGAAAACTATATGAAGATGCAGATCTGTATCTCTAGAGCAATTCAGAAACAATGGATCGAGTTTAAACGAAATATTCTGAAAGCAACTTACATTACACCACTTGTACCTCCCATGGACCTCCTTATTGAGCTTCCTAGTTCCTGGACTGTAGCAGCAGCATCATTCAAGGGATAACTGTAGGAGGATGTACAGAGATGACAGTCAGTCTTCATGAGAGTCTTCAGAGAGTCTCCAACATATTCCGAACTTAGTGGTGGAGATTGATATTAGCTTTGAGATTGACTCACCCAGCCAATGGTGGGTAGTTCTGGAGGCCATAAACATAAATTCATGATGCCATTTGTGCTATTTATCTAATCGTTCACTTCTTTCACTTGTGTTAACAAAAACGTATGTTTGAATTAAGGCTACCAAAAATCAATTTATAGGACTCTGCAGCATAAAGTCAACTTGCTTGAACAGACGATCATGATTTAGAATAAGAGGAGCAGTAACTGATCTTGGAGGTCCTCTAGAACTGCATGGGCTCCCTTGTACATCTGCAAAAGATCAGAAACGTTAGAGAAGGATACAAACGAAGTGGAATCCTAACGTTCGGCGACGAGAAATCAATGTTGCCTCAGTATACTCAGCAGGCTTCTGTATATCATTAACATAAAAGTGCGACCACACAGAGTTCGATTATGCCACCTCCTTCATGGTGGAAACCTGCGCGCTTTGGAAGCATTAATGTTTACTAAGTGCATAGCTCCGTAGGAGTTTCAGGTTTCCTACAGTGTTCTAGGATAGAGGATGATTGTTACCGTTGAACCGCAGTCTCCATCTCCAACTTTGGCATCCATGGCATTCAAAGTCTCACGAAGCTCCACCAGTGCTTCCGCACCTGCACGAATGGCAATTTCAAGAACTTTCCCTTGACTGGTCAACTCATTGGGTCTGCATGACGCCTGCAGCAGAAAATAGTGTATTTTTATCAGAACAATTGATCTATGTAAGAACTGTCCATTTCCTATAAGAATTACAAGGCTAAGATAAAAGCAAGATGGTGGTGAGTCCTACTTCACAAAACCGTCTTGAACACCATTGACTGCTTCAATGAAATGGAAAGGGAAATTTCTGTGCAGAAAAGAACGACACAACTGAAGACCATACCGCCTCAGGCTTTCTGGGTGATGGGGGAACAGGAAAAGGCAATGTCGTGGGTGGTCGGGGTCCTACAGTAAAGCCAGAAGACGAATTGATCAGAAAGAAGCTGCGAAATACAAGGACAATATGTGAAATCAAGACTTCTCTGCTTTAAAAAAAAAGGCTGACGAGCGTACTTCGGTCAACTCCTATTTCACAAGTGAGACCCTTTACCTGAAACTCCTACTGGCCAAGCAGGTGCTGTCGTCGGGGCATCAAGCCTTGCTAGAATCGCATCATCTACCTTCAGAACTGAAAGAGACATGCCTGTCTTGCCGTGGTGGTGATCATGCACAAAACGGTAGCAATATGTTTATGTGATTCACTCTAGGATTCTACAGTTCGATATCAAAATCTAGATTTCAATGTCCTCGTCGAATAAAGAAAATTCGGACGTCAAACAAGACTCATGACAAGAGTATCCACAAATGCGAGAGATAATAGGCGAGTCAACCAAACGTCACTACTATTATTGCTAGTTGATTCGAAACAAGTGACACACTTCTCTCTGCTTTCAACATGTTAATGACTCACCAGCCATATCGAGGGACGTCATGAATGTCCCTGTAAAAACTCGTTCCACGCCTACACCATGCTCAACCTGAAGGTTTGCGACGGCTTTCCCAGCAGCTATTGTGAGCTCCATGACAGGCGTCGCCCCCAAGCTGCTCATATGAACATGACAGCGACTTCAGGTCCAACTAATTTATGAACAGAATCTATTACATTGTCCGCCTATTTTGTACAAATAACTTACAAGTGAAGGTCAATCCCCGTGTTCAGCTCAGAGGATTCAACTGAAGAGATCCTTTCATAAACCGCTGCTAGACGACTATAATTTAGATGAGAATTACCCGTTGACCATGAGAGCGACTCTAGACCCGCGGCGAACTGGCACGTACTGTGTCTCCTGCAAACACGTACAAAATTTACTCTATTAGTTAGCAGCATGAAGGTATTTGAGCTTTTCAAGCACACACGCAATCTTAACACGTTGGATACTCCGAGTAAATATATCAATATGTGTGTCAGCAGTGATCATAACGTTTTCGCTCAGCCTCGGACATCACAAATTCATGGCCGGATTTGTACCTCTGAAACTACTGACCACTCAAGTCAAAGTGACGTACTATAATCCCACCAATGGAATCCATAAACTCCAACGTGAACCTGATCCATCCAGGGTAATAGATATGACTTTGACTTCACAAACCCTGGTTCAGCAAATCCATTATATCTAATCCGCCAAAGCCGGAGCCTCCATTTGAAGAAGTGAAGAAGCCTATGAAAACTGGAAACTTTCTTACATGTCTACCAGTGATACGCTCTTCGAGAAGCTAGGCGCGGAGGTACCTGAGAAAGGATTTTTTTGAGGACGTGCGATACTATGACATCAACGGGTTGGATGTCAGCAACTGCAGCCCCTGGTTCGCCATGCTGCAAGCGAAAATAGACAAATGTTTTAGCTCAAGTCGCCTAGAGTACAATAATTTCGGCATGCGTGCGGACAGAAAAGTGAGCTAAGGATGAAAGAGTAACAAACTGATGCTTTACAAAGAATGTTTATGCTCATTCCCAGCTTTGGCACGGAGTAGAAGAGAAGAAATCTTCCACCTCAGTGACTTCGGCGGTTCACCGTAAAAAACATAATTACTCTACAAGCAAAAGATGATCGTCTCCTTACTTCAGTACTCAGTATATTATCTTAGGAAAACAATAAAAGGAGAATGGGAGTCCTCACAATTCCAAGTCCAAGTTCCATCTTCCCAGGGCCAAGTCGGTCGGACGTGACTTGGCCGGGTATGGTGCACACGCTCAATGCAACTCCCATCGTTCCCACCATTTGTGAGACTCGCCGTGCTTCTGCGGTCACCTCTGCCAGAGAAAGTCCAGCCGCAGCAGCTGCTCCCGCCACCTAATGCAGCAGTGCCTTCCTATCAGCGCATGTAATAGGAAGTATCCCACTGCATCCTACTGACTGAAGCTAGAGAAGTGATGGAGAACTCCTACTTTATCTACAATTGAGGCGCAACAAGCTGCTTTTTGTTGCTCCTCAATTGTAGAAAAAGTAGGAGATCGTATATATTTCAACAGTATCTACATCTAAACAGCTTTCACTAGTTCCCATCTGACTTTTGTTACATCTCAGAAACCTGAGACCCACCTTGTGCACAAACAGAGTTCCTGCTAGTCCTCTTCGCCCTGCTAGGCCTCTCGGGGGAGGCAATGCACAGTCGTCACCGACAATAATAACCTGCGATGGTTGAAATTAAAATTACTTTTACAGCAGTGAAAAGTGGCATCGACATTTAATTTGTATTGCTTTGAGCCCTCATCCGGTTGTAAGGTTGAATGCAAAGTCATCCTGATTGCTCTCTTCTCGCAATTCCGAACATACATAAAAAGATAAAAATATAGCAATCGGTTGCCATTCGAGCGACCTCATAAGCGGGTGTACCTCAATTTTGTACCCTTCAGCCTTCGCTTGCTCAGCAGCCAATCCAAAATTCAATCGATCTCCAGTATAATTCTGTAGTCCACGTAGATAAGATTCAAACTTACATATTACTACGCTACACTGTTGTTGTCACACAAACCTATGAAGAACATACTCAAGGAAATTGGAAACAGGAAGCAGGACGTTGACATCAAAGGGAAGAACAGAGACTCAAGGAAGCTCATCAGAAACCTCACGCACAAGTTAAAATATGACAGGCAACACTCTACCTGAGATATCAAGAACCATCAAACGTGTTGGACATTGTTCAGCTAAACGAACTAAGCTAGCCACGCAAGTGATTCGTTTTCTCACCACAGAGACATTACCTTGACGATGAGAAGGCAGCCAGGTGGTCCAGTGACTGCTCGAATTGCCTGTCATAATAATATCGTTGAAAGGCCTTCAGTAGAAATTAGGAAAAACTATGAGGTTGTGAAATATCCGGGAGGGTTGTGACCAAGAATGAAACATCAAAACGGGCGACGGAGAGAAAATTCGTTATCTTACTGCGAGGATAGCAGCAACAGATGGTGACGCGAATACGTCCCCACAGACAGCAGCAGTGAGCATGCCATAACCCACGAAGCCGCAGTGTGCTGGTTCATGACCACTTCCACCCCCTGCTCAAATCAGTTGAGAAGTCTAATCATGTTTAGTTTAGAGTTCTCTGATCCACTTGAGAAGTCTAATCGACAGGAACAATGGGACAGATAAGTATGGTGCATGTATCATACTACGACAAGGCTTCCTAACCTGATATGAGGGCAACTTTATCATAAGTCCCTCGTGGAACATCAACCCTCAGCACCACTTTGATCTGCACAGATGCCCAAACCAGGGTAAAGATACGAGTGAAAAGAGTGAATTGCAATTTGACATACATAACAGACCAATCTGTGAGCTCATTGTAAAAAAAATGGTGACTGAAAAGCTGAAAAGGGTACTATACGACAGATAGTACAAACTACGCATACAAGAGCTTCGATCTGCAACTAACATTTTGCGATGAGGAACAGAACCAGGAAATTTGTATGCAAGCGACGCGGCAACGAATTGGCAATCACGATCGAACGTGATTTAGTAACATATAAACAGACTAAATTTGAAATGTCCGACTATTGACAGAATGTAAGTACAAAAGACCTCCACCAAAAGGCTTCTTCGGCTGTTGCTAACAACGTCGACAGTACTTTCTCAGCAATCCGCTAGACATTTACCTCAGGAAGGCCATCCAAGTATGAAAGATTTGGGTAGGTCTCGACAAGTCCTTCAATGGCTTCTCTTACAGCCTCTGCGATGCAAGGTAACCATATTCAGTGTCAGACATGAAAGAAGAACAATTCGACACGCTGCAAAGTAAGAGAAGTAAGGAGTGCACTCCCCATGTAAGAATTTTGCACCTCTTTCTATTGCACAGACTTTTATGCTACCAATTAAGCCGCCGCTTTGCAGTTATATCAGAAGAACAGACAGACTCGACATTATAGTTCTCACAAACGAGTCTGACAACCAATTCGCCTTCCGTCAAGCATATCGATGACTTCCCTATCGACATTTTCTAGAGTATCATCTATTGGTGACTTCAAATGTACATCCTCTTCAGTGTGTCTACTAACAGTCGATTCGGCTGGTTTTTGTGTACACTTAGCTATTGTTGTTATCGCTACCCTCACAAAAGTCAACGTCAATTACCTCCTCTGGATTAACGACCTCATGGTCTTGTCAATCAATTGGGTGACTTATGAGATTAAAACTGCTACAAGTCTATTTCATCACTAAATCGCTATGACATGAGGCCGTTTAGACGAACTATATTCTCTGTACGGGTTGTCGAACAAAACAGAGGTCCTCCCGGGCACTGAAATGCGACCCACATGGTCACAGTAAGGCTCTTTGCACAGTCACCAGTCTCTCAAGTCGAACACCTCGGAATTACGGGTGCCATTCGACAACTATGACCAACAAGACGAAACTCTAACCGGGCTCAGGAGAAACCAGTTAGCTGTTCCTCTTAGATACCACACGACAGGAAAGAGCTAAATTTCATAAGTTCTTGGCACTTTATACGCATTGTTGGCTAACCGCAAGTTCTTCCAGGAAGCATCTGCACGTTTCGTTCCATCGTGGTAAGGTCTCGTTTGCAAGCAAGGACAGTTCTTGTTTACCAGGAAAAGGGCACTGACGAAATTCCTGAATCAAATAAACGGTTGGAGGCCCGCTCTAAACGCGAAACGATATTCGTCAACTTTCCCAAGATGGATCAGGCGTGAAATTCTATCTCCACACAGTACACTGCACACTTACGGCCAAAAGAACCAGATGGACATTGCATATTCCACAATTCAAGATCGCGGAATGATGACACAATCGACATCGTTCAATTTCTTATTCCCAGTAAAACAAGTTACCCACAGAAAATTTGTACTTCCGCTTCGAAGACCAGAGTTCTATGCGTGCATGTAAATATATAATAGCTTCAGCGATAAAGCAAAACGTACTTTGAAACACAGTGGTCAATTAGACACACCTATGTACCGAGGAAAAAAACATGTGGAGAGTACGTACGAAGGCAATGGAAGAGCTAAAACAAGAACTGCAAGCAACTTTCTATCCACGGTCACATACACTTCATTTGACTCCGTCAGTTTGTCTATTTCAGACTCTCGAAGTACACAAGATACTTGGCAGGAAAATAACAATCTTACTGCGGGTCTCACAGAGAAGTCATTCCCCAGGCGCTGAAATTACAGGTAATGGCATGATTCCCAATGTTTCCACAGATCGATCCGGATTGAACTGGGAAAATTCACAACATATACAAAAAAGTCCCAGTCTCTGAAAGTTCGAAACAAACAGATAAACCAGTTGATTCTGCTGCTCTGAAGTCCCGTTGACGATGCTGAAGTAATGCTTTGTGATACAAAATGTATTTCTGCCACCAACCAAATTTCTATGGATCATGGACGACGAGCATCACGACGCTGCTCTAGAACGAATTAGCACAGCATGAACAGATTGGCGACGGGAGCATGCAACAGGGAAGGATGCCGGAAGTTTGGACTCGGGATGTTGAGCTGACGAACATCGGACTAAAAGCTTACCGTTCGGGTCGTTGATAAGCTTCTTCCCACTTGCCATTGTCGAGGAAAAAAAAGTCTCCGAATACTCGAGCGTTGCTTCACTGTTGCCCCTACCAGGAGATGCTGATAAGCATTAATAGTCACAAACTAGCCGTGCGCATAGCAATGCTGACAATGAATCCAGCTATTTGGGCGAGAAAATTGCCTTGCTGCTGACACTTTCTCGCAACACCAAGGATTACCTTGCGACCGAGGAACAAATTAAATAGCGCGACCTCCGGTCTTAGACGGGCTTCTGACACAGGACTAATCAGTAGATCTACGGGGAGAGGTTTAAAAATCTTCTCAATTCTCGCGGTGGATAATCTCCCGACGTCACAGGCTGCTGTCAGTGACGAGCACAGTGAGGAGAAAAGGCAAAAGATACGACCGAAGACAGAGGGAGACGAAAACAAAACCAAAAAAAAAAAGGTGAGAAACAGATCGCAACAAAAAAAGGGGAAAAAAAACATACAAAAAAAAAGCGAGAGCCTAGAGCCACAAAAGCTATCCCGGTAGAAACCCCACTCTCAAGTAGAATGCGACTTTTCCATGCAACTTCAATTCTGCCTGGTCAGGCGTCGTCGTTGTCGTACCTCCTCTCTCTCTCTCCCTCCCTCCCTCCCACAACTAACAAGCTTCCAGTCCCTCCCCTCCCTCCACTTCGCCCCTTCCTCTAGCAAGAACTTCCCCCAACCAATGCCGTCATGTGGACACGAGCAGTACAAGGCTCCAGGCCTCCCCATACATACCAGAGGCCGATCTCCGACACCACGCCCCAACAATCTCCGGATCCCAAATTCAGACGACACGGCCGCAACAGTTATCTTAGCAGGGTGTGTAAGTATTTTCCCGGGTTTAATTATTACCCTCGCCCCTGCGCTCCGGGCACCGGGCGCCAGCGGCAGAGTGAGTTTCTCTCCGCTCGTCCGCGCTCTTCCTGCGGCCTTCCTGCCTGCCTGCCTGCCGTCGCCAGTGCCCGCTCGCTACCGGTTATGATTTGGCGACGATCGCCACTTGCGCCTCCCGCCCAGCCCCCGTCGTCACGCTCTCACCTTCCCGTCCTTATTATACTCGGCCCTCGCCTCCATCTCATCTCATCATCATCTCATTAATGCATACGTAAAGCAGCGGGGCATCCTCATCCCCTACACCGTCTAGATTCTGAACTGCAGCCCGTCCTCTTCCGGGCGTCGGTCGCCCGACTCGCCCGACTCGCCCGCGCTCGCATGACCGGCCCTCGCCCGTCGTCCTCTCTCCTCTCTCCTCTCTACCGCCCGCGCGCGCGCGCTCTCTGAGCCTCCCGCGAGTACGGCCGCGGGCGTACAGCTGCCGGGCGGAAGCGTTCCGACACCCATAAATCGACTCCCGACGGGATTGTTAGAAGCGAATTTCGCAGATCTTACCGGTGGCCAATGACGCGCGTGAGGTTAACGAGTTGTAAGGACCCTCGTCCTCTCTCTCGCCCTCTCTCTCTACCCCGGTTCGCACGCGCCGGCTCCCTCCCGGCGGGAGCCCTTCCAGCTACAAACTTAAATGTCGTCCAATGGAATCGGGAGAACATTCACTGATCGGATATCGGATATGAAGATCTCCGGTCGCAAATCTCATTTCCGCTCATTTAACCCGGGATAGATTTCGACCGATAGTTTCGGTGGGCCTGTCCAGTCCTTGGCACGCGGGGGAGATGGAACGCACGTGTACTGCAGAAAGGGACAAAATTCTCCAGCCCCACACGTCCCGTCCACCCATTTGCAGCGCTATATATCCTGCTATAAACAACTTGCTCGTTATAAGAACGCTAGACCGCATGTTGATGATCCACGGACACACCACAAGCAGCTTCAGCCTCACAACAACGTCCAGACAACTTGAAACTGTAGCATTATTTATAAGTGATCGCCATTTATAAATATGGACTAAATTTTCACTACTTTTCTTTTCCTTCCGTCTCAAATAGCTTCGCTTCTTACGCCAAGATCAATTGGTAGCCAAGTGATGGTTTCGTTAAATTGTAAATCTTCACCCTTTTTGAGGAAAGATTGTTAATTACCGCCCATCAACTAAGGAAGAAAACGTGTCTAATTGAAGGAGTGGCAATGAAAACTGAAACTCATGTACATTGACCTCAAATTGGTCTGGAAATAAGAAACATTGCAACACGTGTTCGTCAAGCACAGGTTTTGTCTCCAAAGACATTGAGTCTTGTTATGTTCTTATGTTGTGTTGAGTTCTTGATGTGGCTTGTTAGACGACACCGGATGCAGCAGCGTAATCCTCACGCTGTGGAAGCTTACCGTTGATTTCGAAATTAGTGAGTTCTGCTCTGTTGACTACATTTCTCCATGTGAGTGACTGTGTGTCTTAAATGATTCGGATCGTTGGAGATTCAAACACCAATTTCACCACATTCTACCCTCGACGATGAAAGCTAAGAGATGCAATCTGGAAAAATGATCGTCTTCAACGCTTTGCTCATGGTGTGCTGACTTTCTATGGTCGCATGATGTTGTTGGCTAAGTAAGCTGCATCATGTAAAGGTCAAGATAACAGCTCCACTGTGAAAGAAGAAGACATTATCTACATGTCACCGTATTCCGTACATCAACCATTCGAATACAATGGAATAAAGTGAGTATGACCTGAACTTTCATCTTATTGGATCTTGTGATCACTTTAATTCTTGTGTATCGAAGTCATGTGGGTCATGTGGTCTCTCTTCGTTCTCTTCTTACATATAGTACTGCCGGATCCCTACATCCAGAAGTATCATATCCGTGTAAAATAACAATGATTGACGGGGATAAAGATTCTCCCTGACATGTAAAATAATTTAGCACGGCCATCCCTCTTGATATATTACTGAATAAATCAAGCCAAACATGTAAAACCATACTCAACTTTCAATATCACTGGACACTAACCTAAACATGGATGTTATTTTGAGTACGGTACATATTCTAAACCACTAGCTTCAAAGAAATCAGAGTGGTTGAAATTCAAGTACATTGTGTGTTATATGTAAACAGGAATATATCAACACTAGATTAAACGATTTATCCAAAGAGTATCCAAACTGTTTTATTTTTAGCGATTGATTATTTATTAAAGAACATTAATCTGAATCTTTCAACAACGATGAATTATATTTCTCCATGATGATCACACAGTGAAATCTCTTGATTTAAACTTGTGTATAATTAATTCCGGGTTGTTTTATAGTCAGTAGACTTGAAAGTGTGATTCAAGTTTCAGATAATTCAAAGCATAGCAAGCAACTTACATTCCTCCACAATCTACAAGAGATAATTAATGATTCTTTCCAAGAATCTTGATTTTGTAGATTGTGTCATTTTGATGATAGCATCATATTTGGAAGACATGATTCTGTATACTTTCTAATGGCATAGAGCTTCTATTTTCTATTCTAATTTTTATAATATATTTTTATTTTGATAAAACGACACATCTTATTTTTAGATTACAGCTTGCAATATCAACAAATATGGCAATAAAATGTTTTTAACATAGTTGGTTTTTTCAAAACGTGCATGAAATAGTACATAAAATATAACGTTTTTAGACTCATTGAATTTAGGTTTTCAAACTCATTTTTAACTTTGCAAAAAAAATAATTATGTTTGATACAATTGGATTTATAAAAAAAATATACACAGAACTCAATAAAAAATCATACTGTTTGTTATCAATCACAAAATCAAATTAATCTGGATATGTAATAAAAGTGCAAGTAAAAATTCAAAAAAAGAAAGATTTTATACATTTTGTGGGGAATTTTTTTATTCAAAAACTAATATCATATTATTAATTTATAAAAAAATTCATAAAGTTTTTAAAATTATTAAATTTCGATTGCTAAACCGAGAACAAGTTGAATTAATAATTCTTCAGCTCTGAAACATCCATATTTTTCATGATTTCAGCAGATGAAATTAGTGAAATTGAAAACTATGTATCTATACTTTTATAAATAAACATGCTTTACTTACATCATCATCCGCCAAACAGGTTATTCAAAGTCAACTCGGTGCTCCTCCAATATAAAATATAGTTCAAAGTATAGCATAGGTAATCGATATCGTAATAAAACGTATTTTGAGGATTCAAGACTTTATGTTCCAGCGCTGGCTACAATAGCTGTATCCTCATATCCTGAAGTCTTATATTGTAATTAGCCCTAATTCATTTCTAACCTATTGAGCTATAGTTTTCGTACTGCATTATTGGAACTATTAGTATTTTGTAGTAGGAGATCAAATCGTTGTATCTGCATTTGTCAGCGCATAGTTATTCTAGCTGGAGAGGAGCTAGAAATGTCATGACATAGAGATTAATCAAAACATGAATAAAGCACCTCATATGCTCTTATCAATGCCCATCGTTCTTTTATATCTATTTGCCGCTCCTTCAAGCTTGAGCTTGTTTGGCTTTTGCTGCATAATAATCCTCGTTTCAACATTGCTCACAACAGTAGTCGAGTTGAAGGACTCAGGTGTGTTCGACGGCAATGTCACATCAAGAGTAAAGGAAGACTCACTTCTCGATATTACATTTTGATTGTCAATGAGCAATGCGTTGAGGCTATGATGGAAGAAGACTTTGATGCTTGCGATGTCCATCGCAAAACAGTCCCGGTGTGAATTAAATAAATTTGAGATTCTTCATTCCTATTCATAGAGAGGTAAAGTGGGTTCTTCGAATATTGACGACTTGATCTCGAAAAAGACAAAATAGACCATCTAAAAAAATCATTGAATTTTAGCCCCAGTCTCCATGAATTTACAATATTGGATTCAGTCATGAAAATTGGCTGTTGTGACTATGATATCCATTCTATGCATGGAAGAAAAATATTTAAACGAGAAGACAGGCTTCCGATGCAGCTAATGTGACTCCAACATCATATCCCTTTCAGATCAAGTGTTGTACGGTGAATAAATCTATTTGAACTCTCGCTGTTGTTTGTAGAACAAAATGACGATATATCATACTGGAAAACTCAAGGACGTGAAGACAAAATTCCAGTTAAGACAGAGGATGTATAAACTACAATTTGTTCTTTACTCTTTCTCATAGTACAATGTGTATTATTTCTAATTCAACTAAATCTTCGATTTGTCACTGTGAAATGCCAATATGAGGGTGAGATGATGTGTTTGGCTATGCGTTCCCTCTGGTTTTACTGTCTACATGTGGGTAGGTTGTGCAACTAAGTCTTTTTGAAACATGTGTACGTGATAATCAAAATTCTTGGGGGATCTTTCATGGTCCAGTCTTGACCTCGCACTGTTCATTGTTATGCTGGAAAAATCCTTAAATAAAAGATCCTTGTTGATTAATGGTTTTGTGAAATTTTAAATGTAAAATATCAAGATAAAGACCCATACTTACGAGTATTTTCGACCAATTTCTACGTATAACTTCATAAAAATCCTTCGTATGTGTCGGAGCTCATGTGAGTTGAAGTCTGGGTAGGTTGGATAACAACTTGGATTGGCACTTCTTCCAATGTGAGAGCTTTAGAACTTGTGGTCATAAGTCCATGTTCCGTTAACAATTTGAAAAACCTTCTCTTCTCATACAGCAAAGGATGTACTTAGGATGAAACTTTTGTCATTAATAAATGTAAGTGAGTGACTGGATATATATATATGTATATATATATTTTATTTTTCTTTCTCATTGCCAGCAATATGAAGACTGACAAACTTACAAACGGAGAGAAGAACAATGTGCAGCAAATGAGGGTCCAGCCCAAGCACAAATCTCAATTTGCAATTGTGTGTCCCATTAAGAGGAGTATCTCTGAAAGCGCGAGTGCCGTATCACGTACGTATACGTACAAAAATCATGTAATGCACCACATTGGTATGTCTTGCCATCTTTTCATCTAGTACCCAAGAGACCACTATAAGTTCTTGGATTGAAGTTTCATGGCGATTGACGGATCGAAATGGCGCAAGTGAATCAAATTTATGAGAGGGAATGATCATGAATGAGGAATGGGACGGCACACAGATGGAATGACATCCATACAATGATTTAATTCCAGAAAAATGTGGCCACATCAATTCCATCAATGTCAGTATGTCCAACGGACGCAACAGTTCCGTCGTTGGTCTCCAGTTATATGTTGTCTGCAGTCACTGGAAGAATTCCTAGTATTCGGCCGCAGCCTGCTCACGAATGAAGATCTCCAGGGGAGGAGAGGAGCAATCACGTGAAGGGGGCCAAATGCGAGATATGATACGGAATGAAGCCACAGAAAAATCACATGACGATCAGACGAAAACCGAGGGCGAGTTTACCTGCTGGCCAGGCCGGTCACTATGACACGAGCAGAAAGCCCAACGAGATCATGGACCATGCTCGGAGATCTATTACTAGGATCCTGGTGATCTATGTGGATATATATGGAATGGGAGACAAAGAGAAGGAATGGGTGAGGGAGGGTGCGGCAGCGCGAGCAAGCAACCTTTGAGAATCCGAACGGACTCGCAGAAGAAAATGATAAATCGCTACAGTACAGGAAATGAATAAAGTAGGGGCCTTCTCATCTTCATCATCATCACCATCGCCATGTTCGATATTCTCCCAAAAGCTTGTTGCGACGATGAGTATACAACACACAACGCTCGCTAGGCGAGAGCGAGGGAGGGACGAGAAGGCAGCCGTACGTTCGCCAGTCGCATGGATGGTCCCGAGCTCCAGCAGATGTTAGGTTCGCTTTGCCTCTCCTCGCCCTCGCCCTCTCCTCGCCTTACCTTACCTTACCTTGCTTTGCGTAATCGGCAAGTTCTGATCTACTGTGTGGATAACTACTACTACTGCCGCTACTGTATTCTCATGATTCGTTTCTATATATTCTTTTCTTTTTCTCGTCTTATGGAAATTATGATGTGTACAACGTTCGCTTTTTCGAGTCGTCAGCCTGAAGCTTCAGCAGCAGCCCTAGCGCAACTGCCACTCGCGGCACTCGGCCCAAAAGCCATCCATCCATCCATCCATCCCTCGCAGACCTCACTCGAGTCGTGTGTCATGTCCTCCAGCTCCGGCGCCATCTTCATTTGCAGCGGCGTTTCATTTCGATTTCGATCTCGAGGACTTGTGCATTATGATAATGGGGTTGAGTTTTGTTGTTGGAAACGTGAAGGCTATGTCCGGAATGTTCCGACGGAACTTTCTGGATATAGCTCTCTGGTGAAAGCTTCACGACCTATCAAGCTGATGATGCCGGATAGAGAAAAAGGCATCCACAAAATTTGGAATGGATCTTGCACGTTTTTCTCAGAACTTTGGGCAGGGCGTTGCTGAGTAGTGATTGAATGGACCGCGCGAATCGTTTTCATCTGGCCGCCTAGCGAGTCTATTCCACTCCAGCCATTCGGGGCTACCATGAAGTAACCCTACACACGATCGAGGCTGGAGCTACGCAAGGCTTGCCCGCAAGCCCATGCGACTTATGATTGACACACTCCACTAAGTTGTTGTTACCTCCGGTTCCTCCTCAGCAATCGCGCTTCCGCTTTGGGCCTTATCACCTTGCTGACGGGTTTACAACTCTACCTCTTGGGTTAAAACGAAGCGATTCGAAGGACGAGGTCAGCAAAATACTCGCATGGAGGGATGGGCTGCTCTGATTCGAATAAATGCATCCCTCTTGAAAATAGTACAAACATAAGATCCCAGTGTTTTACCGTGGGGAGAGAAGCCTCCCTCATGTTCACAAGAGCGAGCCCCCGCAATGAATGATGCCCAATTTTACTTACAATTTAATTTTAATTTCCATGCGATTTTCTTCCGATTGCTTTCATTTTTACTTCTTGGACCAATAGCTAGCTGCTATCAGTAGCTGGAATGAGTGCGTTGCATGAGTCTGAAGCATCCGCTTTCTTTGGTAGTCAAGATTTCTGTCACATTACGTCTAAAGCGGGCTTGCTTGCCTTCTACCTGTAGTGCCAGCACAAGATGGTATCCAAATCTCGAAAGCTATTGGTTGGAGTAAGACCTGCATTGAAGAACTTGAGACGACGATGGTTTCCTCTTAGATCCAGCGAGAGTGTGGTCTCGCTGAATATGGTTTTGTCCGTTCTCGAGGAATCTCTACACCACAACTTTTGCGTTCGGAAAGGCGAAAAGGAATGTAGTAATTCTCTCTCTCATCTCGACTAGTGAAAGCTTGTATTGCATGTGCAGAGTTCAGGTTGTGTAATAAATCGGTCCATTTATACCTGTAAATAAAATAACGGGATTTCAGAACTGTCATGCAGAAAGAGCGGTTACACTATCAAGTGTTCCCTTTTTTCGCATCATGCGGACAAATACCACACAAAGTATGCAAGATGTGCATATGCTACAGACGTCGTAGGGTTCAAGGTTGTTCTGTGACTGGCACGGATCCCCCGCAGAAACAGGTTTTTGCTGTTTTTGCTTGGGGCGACCAGCGTTCACGCTAAAGATGTCGTGGAGTCCAAGGGACTCATGTAAGAATTAAGACAGCTATTTTGCCGATTCAATCCGTATCATTATGAGAAGCGAAGGAAAATTGTCGTTCCTGGTTCGAACTTGTCGTATTGCTCGCGTCTTGGAGATAAAACCTCCTCGCATAATCTTTGCGTCGCTTCTTACTCGTGGGATGGAACTCTAATCCCGCGATGGGGAAAGATACCTGTTACTATATTGGTGCAGATCTAAACAAGAAAAACTACTGTTCTGTTTGCCCATGTGGTGAACTCGAGAAAGACAAGGCGAAGGACCCACCCCGTCGATGGATGCACTGCTTCGTCATTCGGGTGAAAAGATATTCTAATCTATCCATTAGAGGGCGACGCCCAGTGGTAGCGCCTCGACACGTTTAGCGAAGACGAGAAATTAACATTCTAATTGCAGGTATGGTTTTGTTGCGATGCGCGAACTGTCTGGATGGAAACTGTGCACAAGTGCTGCGATCTTCTCCAACTTCCACAAGCGTCCACGAGTCCTTCCCGTACAGGAAGCACGAAATTAGGGAGCGAACAGCCGCAGGCCGAGAGCTCTCACAGAAACGCAGCAATCGCACGCAATGGTCTTCCGTTGACAAACGTTTCTATCCTCTAGAGCCTACCGTCTCGGTTTCCAGCTCCTCCTCGAAGACAATAGTTTTTTTCAACTGTACGAGGGCCACGGGTTGCCAAAGGGTTTCGGTATTATTCGGCTGTACAATCTTGTTTTTTTCTTCTCCGCCATCAATCTCAGCGCAGAGCTCGAATCGACAAAGGTGGCCAGCTTGCTAAATGGCCCCGATTTCTAAGTCAAAGATCCGGTGAAGTTCGAGGGCGAATACCGCAACACGCTACCACGTACACACTGGAACAGCGGAAGATGGTCGACAATTTCCTTTTAGAGTTTTCTTGAATTACTTTACGCTGATTTTTGCTGTCCAGGTGAACGGAAGAATGTCTGGATATCGGCCAAACTTAGATATTTTTTCACGATTTTTACCGAGACGAAACATAGCGGCGAATGCACGAACGAACTCTGAGGACCTCGCACCGACGATTTGTTCCAATCAATAGGTGGTGGTGACGTCGCACCTGGCTCTCTCGATCTTGTCGATCTAGGCTCAAGAGAGTAGGCTCGAGGGTGAATGACAACATTGTCGCCTAGGAAGGCTTAGATATGATCGAAAAGGGGAAGTGTCACATGCTTCGCCCTCCTCTAACTGCCGGGCCTCAAGTTCTCCGTTCAATGCTTTGACTCCAAGGAATAGACACTCGAGGCCCTAGTCAAACTGATAAGAGTTGTGTGAGTGTATGAGAGGTGAGGTTTCTGTGGAGAGTCTTCTGTTTCTCGCAGAAGTGGTTAAGAGCAAGCCCGGAGAGCGTGAGAGGATGAACCTCATGAATACGCACCGATGTTCTTTCCACTTCACGGATGGTGGTTTTCGCTCCTTGCTGTCGTGACTCCTGATCCTGTCATCTTCAGGCACACCTAGTGAGCTCGGGGGCAAGTCACAATATTCGGACGATGGAAGTTTCAGGAACGACCACAAGACAAGTGCCACATGCTTCTCTTTTGCCTTGATCCAACTGCTGGCCTTCGAGCTGTCTGTTCAATGCATTGACCGGATCAATGAGCGCTTCTACGTGCAGCACCCTAGTCAAATCGATAAGAGTTGTGTGAGTGTATATGAGGCGAGGCTTCTGTGGAGAATCTTCGGGTTTCAACATTAAGTGGTTGAGTGAAAGCCTGCGGTTGAGTGATATCCACTGGAAAGAGGAAATATTCTCCCTGTTCTTACTCACACTTTCTACTGCCACATACTCTCAGAAAAGCCAATCTCGTTTCAGTCGGCTCTCGCATACACCTACCACATGTTTGTGTTATCCTCCGATATTCATACTATTTGTAGCCTGGATAAAACATGCCCGTCCAAAAGGAATCAAGGTTCCAATCCAGGCGAGATTGGGTTAGGTCGAATGGATACGGTAGATACCAAGATTCTCGAATGCATGAATCTCGTAACAAAGTTCGAAGCTTTTTCTGCTGCTAGGCCTGGGAAAGGTCGCCCGTCATCTATGCCCAAGTTTTCGCTCAGCGGCCATCAGCAGTAGATTTCGGCTGTCCATGTTTCACTTCTGCAACTTAGTCCTCCGAAACTAATCGTTTCCTTATGTGTAATCCTTCGAGGACGCCATACGAGCATCGAGAACCCCCCAAAACGCAAAGAATCGAGAGCTTTATTGTCAAGTTTCGTCATCTCAAGAGCACCTACCGACCAGGATTGAAAGAACAACGTCGAACTCCGTGACATTCCTGATTCTCATGCATCACTTATCTAATCGTGATTTTCTTTTTTCTAGATGATTCTTTGCCTTTTCAATAATCATTGGCAGGTTCTTCGGAGTTTTACATGGGACCCCATATGTTAGAAAGGATAAGGAACGTAGAAGGCATGCCGTGTCACTGGTGCGATGGTAGACACAAACTCTTCCAAAGTAAAACATGGAGAAATGTAAGAAATCAATGAATATGGACGATGAAAAAATTATTCTTGTGTGCCCATGTCAGGTTGTTAGGGAACTTTTGAAGTTCTAAGAAGTTCTTGCATCCTCAAATAATTCGAAGCATTGACGGGAACTTTTGTACTCCCACCAATAAAAACATGTGACGGGCGAATCAAGGATTATATCCCGCATTCTCGTGGTTTCCATCCTCCTTGCTCACAAGAATCTCAACCCGCATAGCGACACCTACTGAAATCAGGTTCAAGTACCAGAAACTCCAAAGGTGCGATGTACTTCTGAACCTTCGGATGTGCATTTAGACCGTACAATGCATCTTTTGAATGTCAATGAGGCAGGACTTGCGACCTTAACTTGTAGGAAAAGCGTCCGAAGTCGATTCAAGTCCACAAGCTTTGGGTCGTTCGTGAACCCGATCACAATTCCGTGTGCACACCTGGTGATGGTCAAAAGAAAGAAAGGAGGCAAGAGCTAATCAGCAAAGACCTCTATGAAGTAGCCACCACTCCTAGTGAATGGTGAGGACTTGTGATTGTAGGTGTACGAGTAACCTTTTTCCAGTAGGTTTTCTTCCGTCTTGTTCGTTCTGGATAGTGGTCACAAATCGTCGGAGGAAAATGAATGTTCTGTATAGAGTCGTGTCGAAGACTCTATCCACCGATGAATATGGTTCATACAAACGAAAGTATTCAAATCAATCGATCCTCTCTTTGATCTCGAGAAATGTTCATGCAATCGACCACTTGAAGGAAAATTATGAAGAGCTTTGTGTTGATGGTTTTCAAGTCACGCCTTTCACTGACAATGTGCAGGCATGCGTGATCGGAATCTTCGAATGGTGCAAGTTTGATCTATTTGATCAGCTTCTAGAAGAGAAACATCATTTTCTGGGTGTGCACTGTGCGTGAGCAATGCACTCCCAACGGCACTTCAAGAAAGTGAAGGAAAGAAAAGTAAAAGAGACACAGTAGAAAGAAGTGCTAGACCAATCTTAGGTCAAATCAAGTACCTATCCATTCCGAGGAGGAGATGATGGTGCACGTTGCCACACCTCCTACAGCATATGAGCATTCCTTTATGATCAGATGCGAAACCTACAGAGGAGATGAAGAACGAGTCGAGAAATATACGGAAAAGGTCGTAACGAAACTCGAGTGGCACCCTAGATCTTGTTCCAAACATCCAATGAGCATGGGCGCGGGAGGAGGATGCACATCCTACGAGCATTTGATCTTTCGATGAGACATTTATGGCAAGAGGGAATCGTGGGGTATAGGGCACCGAGAGAGAAGAGTCCACCTACAATGCTACATCAGGAGGAGGGTGGCCAAGGGTCATAATTTCATATGGCTGAGAGAGAAAGAGAGAGAGACTGCGAGAGGGAGGGGGAGGTCTGGTATTGCAATCATAAGTACAAGAGGACAGATAACTGACTTCACTGACCGCCCTCGAAAGGCTCCATGCAGATCATTTCCATGCACCTTCATTCATTCGTCCACCATTCCGTCCGCCTTCTTCCTCGCCCTTTCTTCTCCTTGTGCGTCGAGCACCACCCGCGGTACCTCCCAACCTGCTCCGTTACAAGATCGAGGGCAGAACAATCACGGAATTCTAATGCAGCTGCGAGTCACAACTATATGTTGGTAGAGATGATCTGAGACTGTTTGCGTGCAGTTTATGAACTTCAGAAATTAATTGAGGCCCGAGGAATTTCGTCTCGTGCAGGCAGCATTAGTCCAGTCTGTCTTACTGGTGTGTAATGACTGTGTGATCATGAATGACGTGGATCTGTCGATTGCTGAAATCTTTATATTGGAAAGTCCAACCTTTTGAGTCACTTCATCGAAGTCATTTTCGTTGCTTTCAACTATTTCGCCCTTTTTCACGTCCACGTTGGTTGCTGTTCACAGCCATCTGTGTAGATCCCAGTGACCTAATTTGGTCTATTTTATCCGCTGCAAAGCCCCGACAAGTGCAACATTTTCACGCTTAAATTTGGAATCAACATTCAATTCCTCTTCTAAACCACGCTCTTCATATTCACATGATGTACATTAGGTGCCGTACTTGTCAATGCATCTCGTGGAAGTGACAAATTTATGCCTTCGTAAGCCTGAAGGCCTCAAATCGAGAATAGGAGTGTGCACCATCGTGTCGATGTAAGGTCACCTAAAGCTTCTTGCACAGCAGCCAAGACGGTCCTGGGGTTGGCTTGCCCAGCGGATCCACAGCGCTGCTACATGTTGTTGTACCCTTCTAGTTTTTTTTTGTGCAAGTATCATAGTAGCGGTAAATAATTTTCTCACCACAATGTGGCGAAGACCGATACGGGTATTCGAAAATGTCCTTGAACAATATACTCCGGTATCTTCATCCTACTTGGTGATGTCGGAGTTGGGACACTTTCTATTATGAGTCGCTTTCGCCCCATGAGTCGCTTTGACTGACATTTCTGCTCGTATCAATATATTCTGTCATAGTTCACTCTCCTGGCTTGTCCCAGATTACTGCCACCAGCTTATTCTTTTCAGAATTACAGGTTTTTCTATTCCAACCGGTATTTGACAGTTGGAGACATACTTTCCTCCTGCCATTAAAAGCGAAAGTGGTTCATTTAATAATGAAATGTGGTTGGTCTTGACATATGCTTTTGATATGCAATTAATTCTTATCTTGCATATATCGAATTGTGCTTTCATGTTTAATAATTTCATGTGCATTTAATTCTTATGCAGTTTTGTGGGTCGTTGTATCGAAATTACATCAAAGCGAATAAATTGATGGAAACAGTACAAGTCTTGAAAGTAAACGACATATGAAAACAGCAGTGGATCAGAGAGAATCTCTTACAAACTTGGTGGGGGCGGGGCAAGACTTTAATGAACGGTCGAGCTCCTCCTGTTTACTTATTTTCATTTCGCATTTTTTCCAAAAAAAAACGATTTTCCGCATGTGGAATCCCACACAAAAGATGTCTCTTCATGATAACGCTTTCTCAAAAAAAACGTATGTTCTTTTTATTTACTTTTTGTGTTTAATGTTAAATATTATGTTCAAAAGTAGTTAAAGGGAAAGGGAATAAAAGAAGAAGATAAATCATTGGATATTTTTCAATTTGCAAGAAAACTTTCATTTCTCGGAAAACCTCTCAAAGAACTCCGAGCCCAGGTTTTCTTTTGAAGTAGAAACTACGAGAATATGGGGACCTAAGAAACCATAGTTTTCACTTCCAAACTTCTACGCGTACATCCCATAAAGTTCAGGCTTGCGATGATTTCACATAATAGACACGGGCACTCTGAAAAGGAAAGATGTAATTTATACTGGTTGCAGAGAAAAAGAGGATATGGTTTGTGTTCAAACATTTTTTCCCAATTACATTAAAGCGTAAATGTGTCATCTGCAAATATCTTTCATACGACGTCTTAGTAACTCAATTGGGATTTACCACGAAAAGCTAAAAGATAAAATATCCCAAAAGGGAATGAATTTTACTCATCAGAAGGAGACTGTCATAGACTGAACGCCATCGAACTTGATCCCTGCGCCTTGCTTGAGTAATTTGAAGAGCTTTAGTATAGGTAGAACAGATATAGAATATGAAGGAAACTATAATTTATTACGGAAGGTAATGAGTTAAAGCTTCATACGGATTATTCTTCCTAAACTGTATGATGAGGTACAAAGACTGATGCAAAAGTGATTGGAAGATTATCGCAATTCATTATCTCGGTCTTAATCTGTTTATGATATCAAGGGAGTGAATTAGTGTGATTTCATATTGAGATGTGAAGGAAAAGTTGAGATGTTTATTAATGGTACTTAATGGTAAAGTTGGGATCTGAACTACTGTGGCTATTGAGTCTTAAACTCCATTAATCTTGACACTCCAGTTAGTGTTAAGTACCAGAAATTATTGTTACACTAAAATATCTCCAGGAACAGTGTTTCCTTAAATATTTTCAGTTCCTCACAGGAATAGTGTGAGTGGCATTTATTCCACAGCGCATTGTAAAGTGTGCTACTTCTATACGCTTAAGATCCTCCCTCAACGAAAGTCTGTTTTTATCGACACAACCTGGTATAAGAAAAAGACCACATAAAAGGGAGAAAAAATAATCATAAATCAAGCTGAAATGTCCTATATACTGATTTCGAGATTCGACATCGTAGCCCAAAACGAGATGGTGCCTCATGAGGTGAGCCCATTGTCATTTCCCTCTACTCATGCACACTGCGTTGAGTTCTTCCCTTTCTGTATAAATTCCAGTAAAAGGTTTCCCTAACTTTTTACCGTCCATGGATATCTTGCTCTTCCCAAGCTTTGTCGCTGTCAGTTATGACATCTGATTTGTCTCAAGCTTTCAACTTTTCATGCCCACACTGGTCGAAGTCAGAGCACTACTGAAGCTGCAACCCAGTTCAAAGGCAACCGAGGACCGTCTGACAAGATCTGACACTCCTGCAAGAAGAGAAGGAACTTTCTACTGCCAACAGATACGCTCGCATCACAGAGCTTGTACATCTGATCGAGGTGAACTGACTCTGAACATTCACACTGCGGATAACATTTCTGGCATGTCAATGCAATAACTTCAGGGGACGTGTACAGACACCGCCAAGAACTGACACGTATCGTCCTATCCTATCTGATTCCTATCGACGCCTCTGTTGAATTTGTTGATTAAATTGCTCCACATGTAGGTTCGTGGTCATGTCGGTGACTTTCCACATTGGACATGTTCTCTAGCTGTCAGCATTCTTCGAGCTCGCTTGCGCCTTTGAGTGCTACGAGTGCAGTATTTTATCACACGCATCGTGGTCAGTGACTGCAATTCTTTCTCAAAAAGTTTTCACACAAACGTCACAGCATGCGTTAGAGAGTCGAAAGTTGGCCATGTGGATTGAAATTGAAGTGCTTGCCATTTCAAGATTCTGAATGTTGCTGTATAACATGCTTCCGACAGTTCCGTCCTTCGCCTACTAATAGACCTGGTCCTGAGAAAGGCCGGCTCCTGTCATGTCAAGTCGTTCAAATTTGGACAAATTGCATCACTGATAGTCATCTGATCCCTGCGTATTACTGTACCGCCTGTGTTACTCTCTTACATTTCAGGCGACCGTGCACGTCCCTGTGCAGCTCCTTCCCTTCACACCCTCGACTGAGAGGTTTCAGCTTGTAGACTGGTTCGTGTACGAGTGCAAAACAAGTAGCTCCAACAATGTGGGTGAACAATGTCAGTCATCCTCGTCTATCGGTTTATCACCATCCAGCAAGCTGGCACTTCACCGTCTCATGAAACGAATATTTAACTCAGGAGTTCCGCATGAGGAGAGCCTGGCTCGGGACGGCACAAGCATGTTCACAGGCACTCTTTGGAAATACAAATCATACTCATATAGGCCTATTCCACAATGACGACAAAAAAACATATGCTTCAACGAATCTGATTCCATCCAAAACGTTTGTTTTGACCTGATACAAGATTCTTGAGGCCAGGTTTCACATTTCGTGGCGATTATTTTCTTTCCCCTAGGGCTTCCGTGTTCTAAATGATGCTGATTGACAGTTACCTGCCCACCTCGAAATGAAAAACTTTCAAGTATGCACAAGTTATATCTCAAGTACTGTTTTGATTGGAACACTACGTCCTCAGTTATGTCATCATCTGTGCATCGCCAGCTTCGCCTACATTAAGGAAGATTCAAGCAGATCAAGCCATTGGGGCTGCGATGAGACAATTGGCCAAATTGCTAGCTCATACCAGGAGTCAGGCTGGAGATGAATCAGGGTGTACTGTGTGCCTGCTCGATGCTGGACACGATCCACTTCTCTGTACGAGAATATTTAGCATGATTCTCAATTCGATACTGGAAGTCCCCGGAGAAGGTGAAGTTTCACAGGAGCGGCAGAGGCCGCAGAACATCCGGGAGGAGCATCAAACATGATAACCCTACACATGAGTGCTCTCTCCATTCATATTTCCGATGGATTACCCTACTCTATAATCAGCATACGCCGAAAATATTGTTGATTTTCAGGAACTTATCATCCCACATACATAATACATACTTGCAAAGAAGTAGCTAGTGTGAAACACATATCGTGCATGCGTATATCAATCCGGAGCTCAACAATATCCCTGCCTCTGTACAACGCGTTTGCCAAAGTTCAGCTTGCTAACCTCTTCTAGACATGCTCTTCGCGAGTTATGCAGAGTAGGTCGTCCATTTCGCACGTGTCCTGTTGTGCAAACGTCGCGGTGCAGCTGCATCACTGTAACAATTACAGTCCTTGCTCGAGTGCTTTTGGTCATTTTCAAATCTCGACGGCTTTAACCCAAAACTTCCATATCCCGGCTGGTTAAGTGCATCACTTTCTTGCTTTCTTGAATCTCGATGTCCTGTCCCAGTACATCTTTCGATCCGTGGAAGTTAATTGTAAACAAAGTTAGTGATTTTTAGGGGCCATGTTCGATTTTTCATCTCAAAAGTGTGTCAGTTTTTCATGTGAAGTACAAAAACAAATAAAGTGTTCGCAAGCCAAATCTACTATCGATGTCCCATAAATAGGCAGACTAGGAGCACAGGCATTGAAATTCTAGATTTGTATATCAGAAAGTGCAACTGGCTCTTAGAAGTCCATGTCTTGTCCACCCACAATCTCAAGGGCCGCAAACTGCCATAGGAACCATGACTTCAATTGTTACAAAGACTTCAACCCATGACAAACACATGGCTTTTGCATCACCTTCTAAATACCAAGAAGTTTGAGGACAAGAATGTGAACGAAGCAGCGACTGTCATTCTGCACTACCCGAGTTGCGCACGCTGAACTTGAATTGCCGATACGAAAGAATTCTTACACTTGGAGCGATGAATAAATCCACCAGACATGCAGCTCAGATAATAATCAAACAAAATGGAAATTGCTCTTTGCGAGCGTTTCGGTGAAGGATACCCACCGAGATTTGTTATCGGAACGTCTGTTCGATTAAAACCAGTGAAGTTTCGCATGTTGGGTTCCGTGGAGAGGCCATACGAGTTATGGCCATTCGCAATTGCAATCGCGGGAAGAATAGATGGAGTGGAAGTACAGAAATCCCCCACTCCTTCGAGCATGCAACGATGCGTAGACATGCGAAAATTGTTGACAGTGACAGCGAGCCAAGGCATGCAAACCTCACGGGACGCGAATCAGGAAGGCCAGTTCTGTCGATGATTTCTGTACTGTTCGAAAAGAGAACAAGTGGACGTGAATTGCCAAGATAATGTGTGGGTGCCACATGGATATTGAGGGCGATGGGAAGACATCATCAATAGGAACCAAATCCAAGGTACGATATTACACCATTTTATTTTAATTTTTCCTGGGGATTATATTTTTATCCCGCATTGGAGCCGCGGCGTCATATCATTTTGAAATGTCTAATGGAAATAAAGGGAAACCGTTTAAAATGAAAACTGTTCTGTTTTCTAAATAGATATTTCTCATTCTTATTATCATAAGTCCGAACTTCATCTTGCTGGTTTTTATTTTTTAATCATATTGACGGGGTCTTTCCATCCTTTTTGCTATACATGTTTTACTTCGTCGATAATGGGTCAAATACTTATTCATTTACTTACATTGCACTCCATGCTATCATTCTATTCCACGTGACTCTTCTAACCTAAGGCTAGCTGCAATGCTGAAACATATCATATTTTGAATATTGATACCACAATATATTTGATTGTTACAGTAGTTCATATTTGTAATAAGTATTTGTGAAATATTCATGTTGAATAATATTTTCATTTTTATAAACACAAATATATGTTTAAAGTATTACGATTTATTAGAAATGAATGATGTAATTTTATCTCTTTGTATTTGTTGATGATATCTATTTAAGGTACAATTGAAATATTCTATATATTTTTCACATTCAAAATTATATTTCATCTTTGAATAAGTTATTTTTTAATTTAATTAGGAAAGGAGATAAATATTTTATGATTTTGGAAGCATATATTAAATTAACAAGTACATATTTGTGCATGTATAGGTAGCAAAATGCGAACAACATTGATTGTTACCAAGAAAATAAGAAAGTGTAAATAATATGAGGTTAAAGAAAGTGAATAAATAGACATAAGGTTAGCAATGCAAGTAGTTTGCCTGAGTAGTGCGCTTATCACGAAATAAAAAAAAATCCTGAGAGAAAAAATTTATGATAAAGTACATCAATGACTTTGAATCAATTATTTGTCAATTGGTAGTATAGCTTGTTTATGATAAATTCTTTTTTAACGATTAAAGTATTAATTATTTTAAAGAAATCAAGAATAAGAATTTAGTTGTGTGAGTAGATTTATAAAAAGAAAATTGAGATCGTAATTGAATGTAAAATTATACTCAATGGTGAGATGCAATCACGTCAGCAAAGTCAAAACGTTAATATTTGAGATACAATCAAGATTATATTGATTGAGAATATTTCATGATGATTATGATACCAATTTGACATTCAGTGAGATTATTAACAAACATTTTCAATTGTGCATTCAATTAGAACTGAAATTTAATGAAATTTATGTAAAATATGAATCAACGTAGAAACTTCAAAAGAATACTATGCACAAGTTTGTTTAAGAGTACCTTGTAATAAATACTAAATTGTGAGTTATTATAGTTGTTTTTTATTTTTATACTAATCTTAGAAATTTCAAAGCTAGTTTGTAACTCAATTTTCTATTTCTTACATGTCAATAAAAATAAAAATATATGATTTATTTTGATATATTGTGATAAATGAAACTCATTAAGTTGAGTATCAGACATGCATTAGTATGAGATTACAATCCTAAAGAAGATGTCTACATAAACTTTTTGCATTATGGATTTCACATCCAGCAAAGAAATATGATATAACAATAATACATCATTATACTATTTTGATATTTTTAGCAGGTAAAGTAAGATGAATATGATGGAACAAAAGTTTGATCACGTAAAAATAAAGTATAAATGTAGTCAAAAGCATGCTAAGTCTCCACTCAGGAAAACTCATCACACAAAGGATATTGATTGAATTGATTATCAGTGCCCACAAATGCTTTTTGACTGAAAAAAAAATCTTGAAAATAATAATCCAAAATTTGGGCTTTTAGGAATAATAAGAAAAATCATAATTTGTTAAAATTGATATCTTTAAAAAATTGTGTATGTCTGAAATTTGAAATAGCTTCCAAAAAATCATTAAGTCATAGATCAAGCATGACCTGAAACTAAAATGATAAAAAAATTAAAACAATATCAGCTATGTTTAGGCCTGTTAATTTTTGCATAACAAAATAAAATAAAATATGTCTTATGGGTATTTTATAAAAATGAAGAAGTTGGAGGATGTGATGTAGTTATTCATGAACAAAATTCTTTATATCTCAAAAAAATTCATAATCTTCTTTTCATATAACAAATATATGATTTCGAACTTCACATATGATATTATAGTTGAAAATAATTATCTGATGTTTAGTATTCTAATATTTTATAGCAGATTGTTATTTAGTGTATATTTACAAACTATGATGAAAATGAATGTAATACTAGATTATTTGATTTTTTGGAAGATTTTTTATCTAAATTAAAAAAAGTAACCATTCTTTAATATACTTTATTGGTTCTTCGCCATGATTTAATCAGTTGCAATGATTGTGTGTTGAATGTAGTACATCAAGTGAATTTTGCACTTTGAAACAAGATAATTAATATGTTTTGTAACATATATTATTATATTAACAAAAAATAATTTATATTTTAAAAAATATAAACAATACCGACAGATAATTTTTGAATATCATGTTCTTTTAAGATAAAATTATATATGTGTGTTTATTACATAGTATGTATATATTTTAATATGAATAAAGTACATGCCGCACCCAATACTAAGATCATATGCGTGTGTTTTGCATAAAACAAATACAGATTTTATGTATTATAAGTTGAATTAAATCATTAAAAAAAATTTCTATTCATCCTGAAAAAATGCATACAACTTTTCTTTTCAAGATGAACACAAAGTTCTTTTGATGATTGAATTCATACTAGAAGCTAAAAAAGATCTAAGATATAAATTTTATATGAATTTATTTATTTTTGAAAAAAAATGAAATATTGTTTATCATTTATTATATAATATTAATTAATAATTTCACTGAATAATGAAAATTTAGATGATGTATATAAAAAATACATGTATGTTGTATGATAACAATTTCAATTTAGACATGTTAAAAATTTATGTGGTTAAAAAAGTTTTTTTTAAAAATAATATAAATAAAAAAACAAAAAAGATATATATTAAAAATTACATTGAAATTTTTAATATGAAAAGAGATAAATTTTTTATTTTTTGTAACACTAATATTTGTGATGACTTAGATTTATGTAAACATTAGTATCATCTTTTAATTGGTGCATAACATATATCAAAGGTTGATCTATAACTTAAAATTCCAATCAAGTTGCTATTAGTTTTAAAAGTTTATCTTTATTCTTTGAAATGATTAGAACTTAATACAAGACGATCTTAAATAATTAAATCATTTTTAATCACCGAAATGATCAATCATTGGTTTTAAATAAACAGTAATGAAAAAATTGTTAATGAGATTGAAATTTTAACAATGAAAATATATTGACTTGTGGTTATTCATGTTGAAAATACAAATTGTTGAAGCATTTAACAGAATAGCTTAAATTGCAAATTTTTTACATTAGTATATGAATATATTTGTGTAGTTCATGGAAATAACATTTTTTTGTGGATATGAATAAATACTTGAACATCATAGATTGATATCATTTATTTTTTTTGTAATCACCAATTTCAACTATATTTTTGATAAAAATAATTTAAACTGTTCATAAAATAAAATTTCTGAGAATAACATAAAAATTAAGAAATTCCTAGGTTGATTTTGATTTTGATTTTAAATAAATAAATAAATAAATAAATAAATAAATATTTTTTTAAATATTTTTTAATCAAAATTATAAATCAAGTTAAAGTATGGATGCGTTGTAAAAATTTTATACATAAGCCTTTTGATAAAAATTTTGAAAATTTAATTTTAAAAACGTTAACATATTGAAGCGTTAGATTTGAATATGCAAAATTTCAAATTAAATTTATACTCGTTTTAATATGCATTTTAATATATTTATAAATTATTTCTAGTTGACTTTTTTTAGATCAATCACACACATGTTTTTTTGAGAAATATATATATTTTTTAATTTGAAACAATAATAAATGGCATAATCATTGAAATATGATGTTTCATGCATGAAGTTTTGAAGATAATTTGTAAAGAAGATGATTTTTTCAATTTCATGGATTTGATATGATTTATAGAAGGTTAAATTAATTTTCAATGTAAATTTTCTATTTTTGATGGAAAAATTATACTTTAGTAACTACTAAAGTATATGAATATACTAATTATATGAAATTTTCTTTGACACATAATAACATAAGATAAAATAAACCAAATTTTACAAAATTTTTGAAATAAGATTATGACTCAATCCGCAAGTACATACCTGTTTTTAGATGTTCATCATTGTTTTGCCAATTCTTGAAATAATTCACTTATTTGAAAATGTGTTTTAAAGATATGATTTTTTTAATTTTCTGAAATGAGAAATCAAATTTAGTCCTTGATTTCAAATTGGAATGTCATTACTGATGATTTTAGGTTTTTTTTTGCGCATTATAAATAACTGTAGGAATGAATTCAAATATGCAGATTAAATTTATATAAAAAATTTTACGAAGAAAATATTATGAAATATCTGAATATTGTGCGTGCCAAGATTAATTCTGTGATGTATTTCCATATATCTGTTTTCGTTTATTAGCTAGTAATTTTATGATACGTTATATAGTTGGATTAAGTAGACATTGACGTTTATTTTTTTATATAAAAAAATTTAATCATATCATGTTATAAGCTATACATATATATATATATATATTTATTTATTTATGAGTAAACCTGAATCTAAATTAATTGAACTTGGTCTTTCTATGAGTATACGTCCATTTAAATATTAAACATGTGAAGATATATGGAATCGATATGTTGAACAAAGTCCAGTCTGGTCGTAAAATGGTGTTCGGCTATCCAGTAGACCCAATGCAGCAAAGTACAGTGACCGGTTGTTAGAAATCAAATGCACGGTCATAGTCTTATACCGGGCTCACTTGCCACCGACGTCCCGTAATTACAAAGGGCGTACAAGACTCGAAACAGCGCTGAGCTATTGCACCTCTGGTCCTGCACCGAAGACATTCTCGCAACTGCTTCACGAGACTCCACAGCACGCTACCCAAGCATCCACCCGCACGGGTACATGACGTGCGAGCCAAGACTGAGGTGGATGTACAAATATGCGCAAATTCTCGCGACCATCGGAACCCCGTGAGCCGAAAGCCCGCCCATCTAATGCCCGTCGCCAAAATTAGTTCGCGACTCTCGGAGCCACATGGAGGCTGTACATTTTCTTAGCTTCAGCTTGACTGGAAGGACCGCAATCTGTCCAAGGCTGGCACCATCAGGTTAAAAAAGTTTTTCTAAAACATTTATATTTATTGAAGTGAAATCGAGTTTTATATTTAAGTCTATTACAAATGGTTTGTCTCAGTTGCAGTTTTTAACTTAATAACAACTGAGATACGTTATTAATGTGATTTTGAAAGTAAAAACTAAAAAATGAAAAATTTCGAATGAAAACTGTGAATCTACCAAATGATGAAAAATCTACCTGCAGCCAAGACAGAAACCCTGCGAAAAGCTAGTTTTTTTATTCACCCGAAGTTATTTTTCGATTAAAGTGGAGCTTTTTCCACCCTTGTTCTGTATTGATTAGGTACTAATAATTTTAAACAATTGATTCAATTTTAATAATCAAAACCATTATTGGAACTAGTTTTTTTAATTAACCAGAATTATTTTCGATAAAAATCGGTTTTTTTCTACCCTCAATTTCGTGTTTCAAATAACGTGTCTTTTTCTACCCTCAATTTTTTTCATGTTTTCTTGCGTACATGTCCACCCATAGTGACCGGGAACTTAATTAAAGATTATCCAAGACAAGGCGGCTTATTAAAGATTACCTGCGCCTCACGTAATAGCCCTCTGCGACGCTTACCAGATCGTTAAGAGGAATTCACCAAAAGTTCACTCACTCCTTGCGACCATTTCGAAGAATCTGTCAGGCATCCGTCCGCTGCCAGTCCGTACAGTACGGCACTGACTCGAAGGGGCCTTCGCATCCTGCGATTCGAGATCGAAACCGTCGCTGACTTCGCGCCCGTCGCGCCAAAAGAAGGTCGCCGCGCGGCTGAACAGTACCGAAGAGGACTGTTCAGCCGGCGGGGGCGGGGGTCGAGGACTCGGTAAGCGGAGACGGGTCACAGCGGAAGAGTGTGCTCGGACAACAACTGCGTCCGACGCGCGAGGAGGACTTGGAGGACGTTGCCCGGTAGACGACGGCCGGCGCGTGGCTTGGGATAAATCTCCACTTGTCCGAAGATCCTGAGCCGGCTCTTATTACCTAACGTGAGGTAAGCCCTCACCATCTTCCACGTGTTGGAGAAACCTACGTGGCGTCTCCTCCCTCGCCTGATACTCGTCCTAGGCCGTCCGATTTCTACATCGCACGGGCGTCGCCGCACGGGCAAGGCTCCGAGCTCTTCTACGTCTCTCGGTGAAATTTGACAGACGATCTCGAGACGCGCGAAGCAGAAGCGTGAGGGAGCTCGGGGCCATCGATCGTCCACTGGAGCAGCAGCAGCAGCAGCAGGATCGATCAGTCTCCGATTGCGAGCTTTCTCCAATCCGAGGGTTTGCGGTTTTTGCCCCCTGATTCCGTCGAGTTTAGCGAAGACCGTCGTGAAAATGTGAGCTGTGATTTTGGTGCTTCGACTTTACATCTCGAGTTCGTGTTTACTGTATGCTTCAGGAATCTGTGGCCAGCTTTCGGCGAGCAGGCAGAGTGGTTTGGCTCGGCGATAAACATGCTTTACACAATTTTCTTTCCCACTAGGCTTAGGAAGAATCTGAATGAGCGAAAGGCATTTCATCGAGAATTGAGTTCGTTGTCATGTTCGGGAGGGGCTGCTTTTCGCTTTTCTCTTTGTTTAAAAGCTTTGTTGTTAACTCATGGTTCGATGGAATTACACTCTCGTCTGACCTTTTCGTCCGAGTCCGAATTTTTTAATCTGTTGAATAACTAACGCGAGTCACTGAGCTCTCTCTTGGTGGCGACCTCATTTATTTGGCAAGCCTCTTTCTTTCCCGGTTAGCGCACGAAGTCATGAGTCATCGTCGATTGCTTGAGCTGCTCGATGCAAATTTATTCGTAATCGACAGTTCTGTAAGAATTGGGACCGCGTTTTCCGGACGATACTGGACCTTACTCGCGTTCTTGTTGGCAATCGGTGAAAACTTTTGACAAGCGGGGTTCTGTCTCGTCTTATTTTATTGGAATTTGGGTTGCGCTCAATGCTGTAGTCCGAGAAAATCGATGTCTGAGTCGACGGTGTCTAATGCAGAAACTTGCGGCTTCACTGATCCGGTCAATTGGTATCGGAGTTTGGCGTCGCGGGAGGGGATTGGGGTCAGTAAGAGAAGATGGTGGAAGCGGGGGATACCGATAAGAACATTGAGATATGGAAGATCAAGAAGCTGATCAAGGCGTTGGAATCGGCCAGAGGAAACGGGACGAGCATGATTTCACTGATCATGCCTCCTCGCGATCAAGTGGCTCGTGTGGCAAAGATGCTGGGTGACGAGTTTGGAACGGCTTCCAACATCAAGAACAGGGTCAATCGGCAGTCAGTGCTGGGCGCCATAACCTCAGCCCAGCAGAGGTTGAAGCTGTACAACAAGGTGCCCACGAACGGACTCGTTCTGTACACGGGAACCATCGTCACAGATGATGGCAAAGAGAAGAAGGTGACCATCGACTTCGAGCCTTTCAAGCCCATCAATGCGTCGCTCTACCTGTGCGATAACAAGTTCCACACAGAAGCCCTGAACGAGTTGCTCGATTCGGACGACAAATTTGGGTTCATCGTGATGGACGGAAATGGGACGCTTTTTGGGACCTTGAGTGGAAATACGCGCGAGGTGCTGCACAAGTTCACGGTGGATCTGCCCAAGAAACACGGGCGAGGAGGTCAGTCCGCTCTGCGGTTCGCGAGGTTGCGCATGGAGAAGCGGCACAATTACGTGAGGAAAACCGCCGAGCTCGCCACTCAATTCTACGTGAATCCTGCGACAAGTCAGCCGAATGTGTCGGGGCTCATTCTGGCCGGGTCAGCCGATTTCAAGACCGAGCTCAGTCAGTCCGACATGTTCGATCAACGCCTGCAGAGCAAAGTTCTGAACGTGGTCGATGTTTCGTACGGCGGAGAGAATGGCTTCAATCAGGCCATTGAGCTCTCTGCCGAGATTTTGGCCAATGTCAAGTTCATTCAGGAAAAGCGTTTGATCGGGAAGTATTTTGAGGAGATCAGTCTCGACACGGGAAAGTACGTTTTTGGAATCGACGACACCCTCAAGGCACTGGAATTGGGTGCCGTGGAGATCCTGATCGTGTGGGAGAATTTGGAGGTGAATCGGTACTTGTTGAAGAACTCTGTCACGGGAGAACTCGTCATCAAACACTTGCAGAAGGAAGGCGAAGCCGATTTATCCAACTTCCGAGACGTAGCCACCAACGCCGATCTCGAGGTGGTGGAGAAGCTGTCTCTGCTGGAATGGTTCGCTAACGAATACAGGCGATTTGGATGCACCTTGGAATTCGTCACGAACAAGTCTCAGGAAGGATCGCAATTCTGCCGAGGGTTTGGTGGAATAGGAGGCATTCTGCGCTACCAGCTCGACATGCGCACGTTCGATGAACTTTCCGATGAAGAGCTCAATTTCGATTCAGACGAATGACGGCAGGCCAACTTGTCTCTCAATCTTCGTTCGAGCTCTCACGCTGCTTCCACTGATCGGAATGAAGCCCACCCTCGAGCCCTATCAGACGACACTGACCGCAGCCTGGAATCGATGAAAACAACAACGCACGAAGACGGGTCGGTGTCCGGAGCTTCGGCTTATCCGGAAGTTGCCAACTCCGCCACGAGATTCGAGGATGAAAGTGGGCCAGTCAAGTCTCAGTTGCAGTACGGGAAAAATCTGCAGGACAAAGCTCGTGAGAGAAACGAACGAAGATCACACTTGGGAACCGAAGTCCTCGTTCCCAAGTTGTTGAATGCTCGCAAGGCGACTCTGCTGAGTGTTCAAGGAAATTAATCACACAGGGTTACACACCTTGGCGTTCCACCTTTGAGGTATGCGTTGTTGATAAACTATCGATCTTTTCAGCTAGGAATGTCTAAAATGTTGTGGTCTTTGCTTTTCCCTGGCTAGTGCTGAAAGCAGGTATCTTCCAAGCCTTCGATTGTGCGCATATCATGGATTCATAGTCTTGAAAATTTTTGCTTTGCAGGTTAGAATGCCGAAGATAATGATCGGGGAGCTTGAAACAACGGTGCGTTCTTAAGAAGCCGATTTGCTGGTGCATCTTGCTGGGCAGATGCATTCGCCACAAGGCTTCTAAATTCCAGTTCTCATTGAAAGCTGTCCACATTGAATTGAACCTTCACCTGGGCAGGTGGTGGATCACGTTGTGGAGCTAGAATTTGTCATTGGATCTTATCACATGAAGCTAACTACATGGGGACACAACAGTTTTCTGTGTGCAGTGAAAGAGCTTAGCAAGTGTTGGAACAGATTCTGTTCGTTGAGATGAGAACGTTTGCTCGGAAGCTGGTCCATCTAATGTGGACCTAATAAGGCTTATAATGGACAGTGACATCTTCTACCATGGATGGGATTCCCTGCATACCCTGGTTATGAGCTTCAGGTGCTCTCGGAAAGAAAGAAATGACGAGGGGACCATTGGAGCCTTAACCAGTTGGGTAAAGTGAGATAAGAGAGATACCGATATAAGGTATCAGTAATGGTAAAGTAAAACTGTATCTGCAAGCCAGCTTTTAGATTTTTAATCAGTTATACACACACTTACGTAGTAATCCTCTTGGATTAAGCCCCAATAAAATGCATGAGTGACAATAGAGTATCAATTGAACTTAACTCATTGCAACCCTGAAAGCCGCCCTTTGTCTTTTGCTACTAAAATCCAGTTTGCTTACTGTTGCTCTCTGCAGCAGAATGCTGGGAGTTCTTCTAAATCACGATGCGGGAAACCACTGTCTTCATTTCAAGCTTCTTCCATATGCCTTATTCATGAACGTTTTTGTTGGCAAAATCTAAGGTTCATTGAACAACGATGTCTCATCTTTCTGCGTATATAATCGATATTTGGCATTCAAGAGTAAACATTTTGACCACCAGTAATTACTACCAACCAAGATATTAGAGGAGTGGATGTATACACAAGTTTGGAACATGATTTCCAAAAGAAGAATTTAATTATTCTTTTTTTTGAATATTGGCAACGAAAAGCAAATAGTAATTGCATGTCATGCTGGTTATTTATGCACAAAATGTAACAAATATCCAGTTCACTTATGTTCACAATCCTCAGGTATGTATTTTACTCTTGGACGAAACCTTATTTCACAAACTTATTTACTGAACTTACTCCAGTACCATCTATTCGAGTCATGAGTGAATTGCATAATTGCGAAATACAAACCTTGAAGTAAAAATTATGATTTTTTTTTTTCAACATAATTCAACATAACTAACGTAAATGAACACAAACCAAGAAATTAGGATCAAAACACACACATGCGTTCCATAGATATATACATTATAGATTTTTCGCAATTATTCGCTGAAAATGACATTTGAATTGAACTAGCGTACCTTTATCTCGTTTTCACATTATAATTTGGTTAAAGTATTACTTTAATCGAAATGATCAAATTGTAATAAAGTTTATCATATTCATAACGAAAATAATGGCAAGGCCCGCTTGTTAAGCGATAAGAGTAATTAATCAATCCTTCCAGATTTGTAAATGAAAGAAATACTTTAACGCTTGCAAAAATCAATATTCATAGTCAATTAATAATTGAAATTGATACATACACACCCCCTTCCTGCGTAGACATCCCCTGTGAAGAAAAACAAAAAAGACGCGACAATTTGCGTGCACATATGCCGGAGGAACTCCATTGCCTTGCACGGACCTGTGCTTCCATAGGATTGCGCTAGAGTCGGAAGCTCAAGAGCACTCGGATCACAATGTGTTGTGCTTCTCGTGGTATACTTTTGGACGTCCACGCCCGCTATTAATGTGAGCTGTATCTTGCACAGGTTCTAAAGGTTGTTACTATGAAAGCAAAAGAAGTGTGGCGTTTAAGATTCGCTGCTGGTGGTCATGATGACCTTGAATTTGCTGGAATATATCTGAAAGCTGCAATAGCGGTTAGTTCTCAATGTCCTCCGCATCCAATGGTATCAATAGCGGAAGCTCATGGGGTTTGTCAAGCCACCAAAGAACAAAAAGTCCGCCATTGAGAACCTACCCGTTGATGCCAAGATGTCACAGATACGGTGAGCACACAGTAGGCTCATTGTTTTGGTGAACACATTGGTACACAGAGTAGCAACGACTTCAAATTGTTGTGCCTTGTGCAGCTAATACTCGACAAGCTTCAGTGCATGGTGTGAGACTTTCCGACGTACATCTGCCCAAATATCAATATATTGTGAGACGATCGTATTTGCACGATCGTAAGCAATTTGACGTTGGATCACAGTCTCATGTTGCAAGACCAACAACATGATACTCTGATTGACATCGATAAGTTCGCTAGATGAAACAGTGAACCAAGTTTTCAAGGCGCCGTGCTTGCCCTCGGCGCGGGAAGTGACAAGGTTTTCTAGATGACAATGAATATTTGTCTAAGCAAGAATAAACCGCTCCTTGTGGAAAAGCTAGGTTGCGTAAATGTAGTTGCATGCCTATTGTGGATGCTTGGCGAGCATAGTTGCCCAGTTAGCGTTGAACGACTCGATATCTGCGGATTGACACAATTGGCAAAACTCGAGCTCCCATTCCTCCAACCCAAAATACTTTTGAAATCTAGCAAGCACATTCTTCTTGATGTGCCATACACAAAGAAGATTGTGGGCAGTCAGAAATGTTACTCAAATGGCTGACATTAACGCAAATTCGCGATACGTCACAATGATTTTGGGAAGTCGTCCCGCTGCAAAATACTGGAAAATTGCTCCAGCGCCCAGATGTAATAGTCTTCAACCTCAATTACTTTAATATAATCTATATAATAAAGAACTCAATGCTATTAAAAATATATATTAGAAGAAAGATAAAAAGAAAAAAAATCACAGATATTGAAGTTTGTGGAATGAAAAACAAATAGTCAAGTCAACAATTGTAGGACGCAAAGAAAATAATTAGAGCAATAATAATTGATCAATGACATGTGATATCATCAAATAGAACAAACCTATTAACCAAATGGCCTTGTGATCAAATAAACCGATAACGGATTCTCTCATGATACCGTTATCATGAGATGATGATTAAGTATAAAATTCCTATCACTCTTATGCTCTCACTTTCAATAACTTTTCAGCTACTCTACGGAAGATCTTGGGTATCATGGAGTTGAACGGTAGTGAAGTGAATCTGCAATGTAATGATGGAATAATACATGTATTTTCATATCACAAAATACACGTATGATTGCATTGCAGGTTTACTGCAATGCAATGGTGATATCATATGTGTATTTTGTGATATGAAGTGTCTCGATCGGTGATTGTTTTTGAACATGCATATGTCCATGTTTAGCATTATAGTTTATTCAAAATTCATATATGAGAGTATATGAGATTGCATTCAAGAGTATAATTTGTGTAGTACTTTAATGAACAAATCTCGTCTAACTTTTTTGTTTGCAAGAAGTAATGATTTGGTGTGAAAGTTGTTGTGTGATAGTCAGCATTAAGCATCAAGCTACAGATATTGCTATTACAAAGTTTTTATCTCGTCTTGATAGATTTACAATGTAGCGTTCATTACAAGTATTATATTTGTTTACACCATTTAAGAATAGTAATACTAAGATATGTTGGTTATGCATTATAGTTATTTTAGTTTTTTCTAAAAAAGCTAAATTTCTTCTAGATGTACATTGATAGGCATTCTAGTGCTTCTACATCATTGTGCGAGGTGCAAGTGGATATTAAAAGCTAAAGGTTTCACAAGACATCAATCTTTAAAGATATTAGGAAGACCTTTACACTCAAACACAAGGTAATTACTTGATGTGATCCTATCGTAACACAAATTGCTTACTAGGAACTATCAAGTTTCATTTTTCTCCATGAGAACCACCGACGGTACATGTCACCCATGTTCTGTAATTACTTGATGAGACCACATCGTAACACAAATTGCTTACTAAGACCTATCAAGTTTCATTTTTCTCCATGAAAACCACCCACGGTACATGTCATCCATGTTATGTAATTACTTGATGGAACCCCATACTAACACAAAATGCTTACTAGGATCTATCAAGTTTCATTTTTCTCAATGAGAACCACCGACGGTACATGTCATCCATGTTCTGTAATTACTTGATAGGTATCCCATCGTAACACAGATTGCTTAATTGCTTACTAGGACCTATCAAGTTTCAATTTATCCGATGAGAACAACCGACGGTACATGTCACTCATGTGTTGGTATTTGCAGCCGATTCCACATTCCCCGCAAAGCACCATCTCATGAGTATGTGCATCAACAATCTACTTCCGAACGCTAACCGCGTCATTTCCACAAAACCCTCTTCTCCACCTTCGCTCCTTCTCGCTCCGAACATAAATCCAAGAGTCTCACCCGCCGACCATCAAATATAACAGGACTCTATCCGCTCATCCTTTGGCAGGATTGACACGACTGCAAAGGGAAGACCTTCCTGCTCCAATTCGGGAGTTGATGTGATTACAATGCTTTCCGGAATTGTGGAGATGTGTGAAGTCGGGAGAATGCATCATGGTGAGGAGAGTTTGTTTGGGATTACGAGTAATGATAATGTTTACGGGGAATCTGATTGGGCATTCCGATTCCCATAGGGTGGGGTACCAATGGTTAAAACGAAATTTGATAATACAAATAAGTAATTTGTGTTATGATGTGTACCAGCAAGTAATTTACTATTCAAACACGCACCATAAAATTGGTTCTCGCTTAATTCACTTTCAACTCAATATCACCCGAGATACTGCGCATAGGACTGTAAAGCTATTGAAGAGTGGATTCATTCCCTTTTAACTCAATATCACCCGAGATACTGCGCATAGTACTATAAAGCTATCAAAGATTGGAGTCATAGGAGTGAATACATACAGTGTAATGAGAGCGAAGTCACCATGTGACCTTATCAGATAATTTGATCACGAGCCAATTTGGACAGCCGTCGAAGCTTTGGAGAGAATCAGCAGTCGTCTCCGTCCACTTTCTCGCAAGAACAAAAAGCTGTACGATCACGAGGGGATTCGAACCCCCGACCTTCAGATCCGAAGTCTGACGCGCTAATCCACTGCGCTACGCGACCCTTGTTGACTAAAATCAAATCCTTACAAATTTAGACTAAACAAAAATAACAACTTTGAGAGGCCTGCTTGTCGCTTGAACCTGGACTGCGTTGATCTGCATCATATCTAACTACTTTGCACAAGAAAGAGTGTCAAGAATGATCCAGCAGTTCCTTTCTCACGCTCGATTGGGAAGCTCATTTCTAGAAGAGCTGCCTTCTATTTCTATAGACCAACCACGCCGGGATATTTTCATACTTCGGTTGACCTTGGAAACTGTTCCCTTGGAAACAGTGGTATACATTTTACAACGGAAACGAATTAAGTACATGTCCGGATTAACAGCTCAAGAAATATGTCTGATGTCAATCTCATGGAACAATTTAATTAGGGAGTCTTATGGTCAGAGTAAGAACAACTTAGCTTTCTCAGTTACAAGAGTAATCTTCACCGGAGAGCATGCCGCATACAGTACGGTATTACTTATCCTCGAAGCAAACACAGCCAGGAGTTGTATATACACGAATTGCGCTAGAAATACTCTGTGCAGAAGGTGAAGGCCCCATCCATGACCGATACTCTAAAGGCTGACGCAACAGTTTAAGCGAAGAACCAATCGTGCATTCAAAGTGAAAGGCAAAATATTACAATATTGGAGGCACATCCATAATTAGTAAGTGGATTCCTCAATTTATCTTACTATTTCTCAAGCTGAGAATAGTCTGGCTAGTTCCCCATCCTTCTTCCAAAAATGGTACTTTTACACGACACGTTTTCATATAACCTGCCAAAGAAGCCCTCAGAAATATCATCGTTGAATAGGAGGAGGTTCCTCTGATTAGCGGATATAACTAAATGTAGCGCAAGTGCAAAGACCACCAAATTCGTCCTCAAAACCCATCCCTTTCCACTCATTCTCTTTGCTGGGGTTCTTCCTTCAGTCCGTCTGTACCAGGTATTTGTGCCTTATGCCTGGTCATTGAGACCGCACTGTACAAAGAAGTGAAGTAGCAGCAATGCCTCATGGTGCTTCGAAAGCCTATATTTTTGTTCAAATTAAACGGTGCACACTCTTTGCTGCAATTAGTCTGCAGACCTGCCTCAGCTTCGGATTATGAGTCAGGATTGCCGAACTGTGTATCACTCTACCTTGCTAGTCGAACGTTTGGACTACTTTACTGGATCATCCTCCCTCCTACAGTTGCTGATAGAAGTGATTCCAAGTCCAACTCATGTTATAAAAAATGCTCTAAATCTACAAAAGGAAGTACCGCTGGCAATCATTTTTTCTCCACAATAATAAGAACTGAATCAGGTGGACCAGGTGGATGGAAGCATGCTACAAAACTTTGATAGAGGACGACAAATCGACCACAAAATGGATCAAATTGCTCCCGGACGTGCTTATCTGGCCAGAAATTCGGCTTCGCTGCCAATCTGCACCAGATCCATGACGATGGAAGCTTAATATCACGAAAGTTTACTAACACTACACGGCAGGCTTCCCTGCAGACAATCCTCGACGTGGAAGATTAGCATTGTAAGGGCTTTGGGCTGGGCTTTGCCCACCGAAACCCCCCATGCCACTCTTGCGCAACCGTGCTGAATCACCACCATTTTGACCTTTTGCACCTCGGAGCATTTCCGCAGTTGGAGGCGTTCGTGGAGGAGTTTGTGGAGGGGAAGGATCCCTTCTGATATTCTCCTGCGTTTGTAAACCACAAAATTGCCTCAGTGAAGCATCTGAGGATATCAACTAGCGTACAATATCGGGAAGGATTGTTGAAACATGGTGAGACTACCGACGACCCTGGACGACCATGTTCACCTTGCTGATCGATTGTTTACAAGAGTCTCAAATGAATGAGTGCAAGTTCACTTTCCAAACAGTGTCCAGGAATTCTACATGGTTCGCACACAAACTCTCTAACTCCAAGTAGCAGCGATAGCCCTTGAACTTTGTAAAATAGGATGACAGGTGTTTAATCGAGGAACTCACATTTGCAAAAATTCGCTCTGCTGACAGCATAGAAAGGTAGTTTCTCGGCATGACTCCAGTAGGCACGTGCTCTGCACGTAGAGGGTTGAGTTTCTGTAGAGGATGATCGCAGGACCTGAAGATCATTGACAAACATTATCAGATGGAACGAACCATCACTTCAAAAGAAAAAGTCAGAACAAGCAATATGTTAGTCAGGATCGAGGTAGAACTGAGGTACTACTAGACAGATTTTAATACAAACTTTTCTACTACTGGATTTTCTAGGAGCAACTCCATCTGCTTCTATAGAATCACCATCCTTAACATCCTTTTGAGGTTTTCCATCCTTCCCTGTCCTCCTTACACTAACATGCATCGAAGATGAGCCGAATTTGGCTTTGTGTGGCTGCCAAACCCTACTTAATTCCTAATGTAAACAAGTAACTATTTATAATAAAAATTTGCAATAGAATTTTCCTTTTTTAAATTGATTTTTACTGCTAATGACCAAAAAAGCTAACGACGAGATTTACAATTACATCACTAACATACTGATTGAGTCACGAGCGATGCTCAAGACACCTACATACCCGATAATTCTTAGTTAGGAGCTGTATACGAGTGCTACATCTTGCTCTGTAAGACTGCTGCAGATATCATCAACATATGTCACGCAAAGTTTTTCACCAAAATTAACTTACATGCATTTGAAACCAAGAAGAGGTTTTCCGGACAACATGGCATTTTGAACTGCCTTGCTCTCCCTCAACAGCTTTTCTAGTCTCTGCAAAGCATAAAAAACTCTCCAGAAATAAATCATGATCTGCATCTGTTGACTGGTCATGGTTAGTCCCTCAAAGGCACCAAGGCAGTCAAGTATCAAAATCAGTAACCTTCAGCTTCGCTTAAAGCAGGTCAATAAGTATACTGCTAGTTCGCGCTTCTCCTGAGCAGCATCTATACGTTTTCCAGGAGGACCTCAGACTTTTCTTATTTGTTCCTGAATGTTCATGAGACCACATCTCAAACCTTTAGACCAAAAGAGTCAAGAACGACGTGTAGTAAATAACACTGCTGACTTACCACATGAATGTTAGAAAGTCTAAAAGAAACTGAAAAGACACTGCTGCTTTTGAACGTTATGCAGGTACACTATATACAAGCTACCAGCATTCAGGATTAGAAACTTGCCGCTAAATCAGCCTTGTCTGCCTTGGTCTCAAGCCCTTCTTCCAAACTGGCAATCAATGCCAGATGTCTCTCCAGGTCTAAAGTCACGTTCTCCATCTCTTTCACAAGCCTCGCTAATACTAGCATATTCTCTTTGGGTTCAATCTTATTGGCGTTTAGAGCATCCTGCGAGTTGAACCAGCCGATAATGTGAAGTCTCACATTGGAATTGTCGGTAAAGAAAGGTTCCAGAACTGTCATGAGGAACAACTTGCTTGTCGTGAAAATGATAAGGGAAACTGCAGATCAATCACATCTGAACAGAGCAGTTTGAAGACACAACGAGCAACCAGGGGTGGACTTACCTCCAATGCTCCAAGTGTCTCTTGATACCTGGTTCCCATAACCATGCGTGAGGCTTCCTCAACGCTCCTGATTCTTAAAGATGAAACTCTATGAGGTCCCGGACCAGCTTCATGCTGTATTGCACGACTAGCGCTAAAAGTAGTACCTCTGTGTGCTTCCATTTGAGGATTCAGCAAATTGGGCGTAAGTGGAATAACATCTCCACTTTGATTTTCTGATTCTTGATCTGCAAATCTTACGGTGTCTGAGTGATGAGCACCACCAGATTCTGAGTGATGAGCACCACCAGATTCCGAATAACCATGAGCACCATATTGTTCAGTACCGGATCCATGAGCGTCTGCTCCTGGTGGTGCTGCTGCTTGCTGGGGAGGAGATGGAGGTGGGGGAGCTTGAGGAGGAGGAGGAGGTGGTGGAGGTGGTGGTGGCGGAGCATAAACTGGTGGTGGTGGAGGTGGAGGCGCATATACTGGTGGTGCTGGGGGTACATATTGCATAGAATTCATAGAATTCACTGCAGCAGCCATTGTACCACTGGCAGCTGCAGCTTTTTCACTGGCACGCCGAACGTAATGCGCCTCTTCAGCTTTGGCAATTTGCTCCATGGCTTGCTGCATGGCAACAGCTGGATCGTGTGCTGGATCATGGCCGGCCATGATGAGAACGCCTTTGCCCAGAACGCCAACTTTTTCAACAAGCTGCGGAAGAAAAGGCGTTCATCAGCGGAACAATTCGAGTCAAATGCAACAAATGTCTCTGTAAGACCAGCATTTTAGTTTCATTCACTGACAGTCCTCTACGACTGATTTGCTTTTGAGTGTCTTACAAATACAATTTAGCTGCAAACGATAAGTCGAAAACAAATGACAGACGCTTACCTGCATGATCATCCTTTCATGACTTTTCAGAGTGGCCTTCATCTCCTCTCCCATTTTCTGAGTGGTTCCAACAAGACATGCATAAATTCTGACTGCTTTCAAGACGAATACAGTTCAATTACCAGACAAAAAAGAAGCTATTGCTACAGAAGCATTTTTAAGCGAGTAGTCAAGGTAGTCTACTGGATGAAATGGTTGAGAAGGACATGCATTAAAAAGCGTCTGCGCTACATGCGTATATACTGACGTGAATTGCCAGTTAGAGACCAAGCCGTGCTATAAGAGAGAAATACGTTTATCCTGCTTGGAAGCATTATGGATGATTCTGTTCTAAGGGTAGACCTGTACGAATCAATATTAAGATTAACTACAACGTTTTTATCGGTATATAGCAATCAAGCATAGTATACCATTCCGCCGCCACCTTGCTGAAGTTCTGCCAAGGCATCCCTTAATGCTTGTAACTGTTTGCCATCTGCTTTACTGGCTATCAATACCTGGAAGAAGGGAAGACAAAGAATAGTCATATTGCTTGACATGATGCATAATTTCTTGCATTTTCACGTCTATCTCTCCTCTCGGTTGAAAACAGGAACATATGGGAAAAAGAAAGCCACAATTTCCAGTCAACCTGACAACGAGCGCGCCCTAATCTCCGTGTGCACCGGTGAAAACTTAATGATTTGTTTCAGCTTGATAAGAAATAAGTTTCTGCCAATGAGATGTTGAAGAAATGACGAACTAGTATGTTAATCTCAATCACTAGCTGCTTGATCAACATCGAATACTGATTTCTCTGCCTATAGTTACCCACCTCCAGCTGTAGAAACATGTCGGCATAAAGCATTATGCGATTTGCATGCTCGTTGACAACAAAAGTCACCTCCTCATCCAAACTATCCATGTCACCATGTATTGAAGCAACCGGTATGGAGACTTGCTCCGCTCTCTTAGCAAGGAGCACAGCTAGGTCACTCCTCTCGGCCTGTACATACACTAACCGAGTGGCAATAATCAGGATAACCATGGCAAAACCGATTGTCAGCTCAGAGTATGGAATGAACTCAGGTTGCATAATTTGGTTAAGGGTTTACCAACGAAGTTACAGAGCCTTGAAGAGCCTTGAGGTTATCACGCAATTCGTTGTACATATTGTTCAAGCTCTGCGCCACAATTAGGAAGCATTAGTTGAAATAGGACGCAATCTAGGGCTTGGGAAACCTGACACACGCGAAGGTATTATCAAAGAATGAGAAAATATACCTCTTACAATCAACGCTGCCCGGACCTTCATTTCGAAAAGAGACCCACAGAACCGAGAGAAAATATCACGACGTTTCGGGATTGTACCGTTCAACTTTCAAAGAGTTTCATCCCACTACGCGTTGTTGTGTGGTCAAGCATGAATAAGAACCTACCTCCAATTCAGGAGGGCCTGTACCACCACCACCACCACCTCCACCTCCACCTCTTCCGCCCTGCATACAAGAGGGAGATCTGATTGTTCATGAGGTGAATCATTTACCGGTAAGGGAGAAATAAACATTGAGAAATTCTGTATCTACATTCCGGTGCAGGACACGGATACCAGCGGTACAAGTATATTGTATCCTATAACGACTGTTTCTGAAGGGGTACATTCAAAGACTTCATAATGAAAATGCCAAATTGAATTTTATGTTCTATGACAGAATTGGTTTCATAAGTTCTCCAATAGTCAAAGAAAAACTGCTTAGAGCTTTTGGCAACGTCTGAAGACTTACCGCTCCACCGGCTCCTCCAGAACCATGGAATCCTTCACCAGACTTCATGTCCTCCAGAGGTTTGGTGAAAGTATTGTTCTCAAAGTCTGATCGAAGCGCCTGGATTTATGCACAATATATACTAAATCAGTAGGGAAAAAGGGAAATGTTGTGCTCGAAACCATGTAGGCCAGGCGATGTATGTTTTATACATACATCGCCTACATCGTTTCTACATATTCCTCTCTTTACAATCAAGCCAATCTCTCAATGGTCAGCAATAGTCTTACGCCGCTAACGATCCAGAAGTTTTGTATCTCAGAATTCTGGACAAAAAAGCTAAACCGTCGACGAACTCCAATACAACATTTGATGCTAGACAAGCTGAACCTCGTTCATATATCCCTAATACTGACCCGGCAAGCCTTTTGGATGGCTTCCAGATCCGAAGCTTGAGCTTTGGCTGTCTGGATCAACATCTCTTTGAGCGCCTCTATCTGCAACCAAGAACATTCTGAAGTTTCAAAAGTTCGGCCAAGAAGTTATTTTTGCTAAAATGAAAGAAAGGATGAAAGCGCTGAGGGTCAGAGTCGCTGAAAATTGTCAAACTCATAACTGTAAAACAGAAAAAAACGACCATTTAGGATGAATCTTCATCTCAGTGACTACCCAGAGTAGCTAAAGTTCTCCCACTAGTTTACAAGTATAAGTGCACAAACAAAAAAAGCTGTCAGTACTTCAATCCAAACGTTGATTCGTAAGCACTCGCGAATATTGACGTACTTGAGGCACATGAGACATTCCTGTATGGAAACTGTCTGAATATACATCCCACGCAATAAGGTAGATTTGGCCGACGTCAAGACATTTTGTGCAAAACCTGAAGTGTTGAAGTGTTGTTGACTTTAATGCTAATCTTGCGACAGAGATACTGGGATAATAGGTTCTTAAAATTTTCCGAAAGAAAAAATGTAAACAAACTTTGTCTGGACCGGGAAAATCACCAGGCAATTCTCAAATGGGAAGATAGTAAGGATTTCGTACTTGAGATTCCAATCTTTTCAGTCTGTCACTCATGTCCGCAAAGCCTGAGTCCAAGGCTGCCAGTTTGTCTCCTGCCATAGCACCGAAGGCGGCATCGTTGGCCGCCTGTTGCGCAGCCAATTGTTGGGCAGCCAAAGCAGCTGCTGCATCTTCTTCTGCATCTTCTTTCTCTCTCTCTTGCTCCTTACCCAGCAGGTCCTTCTGTATCAATGCTTGATTCACAAGCTCTCCTTCTAAGCCAGTGATACTACTATTTATATCCTTAGTCACGCCTTCCAGCGTGGACACACGAGGTGGAAGTGTAACCAGTTCACCTACGTCCATTTGCTGAAATCTGCATCCATTGTGTACCAGGAGGAATTGCGAGTTACATTGCGCCACAGTTTCTAGGACTTTACTCTGCTGCTGATTCTGGAGATCTCCTGAGCTCAGTAAGTCTTCATCATAGGGACGTAGATGCAGATTGAGCGGCTCTGCTCGTTGGTGCTCATACTTAAGGCATTAAGTAGGAACTACAAGAAAATCTGGTAAGACTACCGTACAAAGTCTCTTTCTGTACGTCTACGTTCATATCATATTCGAGACGACTTAGGTCCTGAATATGCGAGTAAACTGTAAACAATGGTTGCACAAGCTAAGTGCCAGCTTCATTTGTGTGTACCCTTTTTCTACTTGCTGCAGGCGCTCGTCGATCAATTTTGCCCAGTCTGCTTCCTCTCCTTTCTTTTCGCTGCATTCATTGGAAACCATGCTTTAAAAGGTCAGAACAGGCTGATCCTCTCAACGGGATGGTAATTACACGGTATACTGTAGTTGTACAGTGTTGAAGCTGAGAGCAGCAAAGTTGAAGACTTACGTGAGGTGGGTGAGTTCTTCCTTCAGATTAGTCAGAGCTTTTGCCGCTTCTTCCGCTTTCTCAATGCGGGCACCCTGTATAAAATACGCATCCCTTTAAAAGGCAGAGACTCAAGCAGGACTGGAGTCTGCAATGGAGCCATCAAGACTAACAACTGAATTTGAGGACCTTTCAACACGGTTGAAATTCGGTACTCGTCGTGCATTCAATCAAATTCCTCTTGTATGACGCCTACTAGTTTTCCGCCTTTGATCAGTGAGGAAGTTCTATCGCGACCAACGGTATCGATGTCCACGTGAAGTCTGAAGTGTGCTATCTTCACTGATCTTCTATAGAATATGGCTTATCACGAACAGAAGTTAAGTGAGAAATCAGGGAGTAAGCAACAGACAGGTGACTCCACAGTACAAGCCTTATTGCTCGTTTTCAAAGAAGCTGCGGCACGTGAACTGCGCACCCCTTATGGAACAGTTCCTTGCCAAATTCCGAGGGCTGGGCAGAGATAGCCTCTTAGTGAAACAGATGTTTAGGTAAATCGTCACTTGAGATACCTCAAGAAGAAGTGCACTACCAGTATCTTCTGAGCGGGATAAAGGAGCACGAGGAATTGAAACCTTGTCTGTAGGTCAGGATGCAGATGTGTCAGAACCGTGGGTTCGCGATGAGAAATAGCACAAAAGTTCATGAAGTTTAACTGGCTTTGAATTCATAGCTTTTATCCTTCTGTCAGAGCAGACAGAGCAGGTGAAGAACGATAATGACCGCAATGAGGTTCTAGTTCCACAGCCGTCGAAAGAGAAACTCTTCGAAGCGACAGGAGTTGAGAATGAACTGGCTTTTGAACTCGAATTTGCAAATCCAGGGAACGAATCGTGGAAACGGTGTCTTCGAAAAATAAAAACAGAACTCTCGGTGCAAGAACGAGGAAGCAGGACTGAGTCCAAGCCGGACAAAGGGCCAACTGCGGCCAGTGTGCTCTTCCTTTCCTGTTTTTTTTTTCCCCCTTTCCGTAATAGATCTTCATTTTAGCTTTTCTTCTCCAGGCGCGACAGAAAAAGGGGAGGCAGGAAAGGGATAAAGGAGAGGCCTGATTTGCGATTCGATCGACCAGCGAGTGCAGCAAGAACTGCAGCTTGTCCCACTGCAGGGTACCCACGACCGGGATGTGCTGCACAGAGAGCACGTCCCGGATGGCGGCAACATCGTCGTGAACTTCGGAAGAAGCGACTGAGGTTGGAGTAGAGGGTTGAGTAGCATCCGCCATCGCTGCAGCCGCTGCCTGAAGTCCCGAAATCCGGAAACAGGAGTATGAATCAAATCTTGCGCATGACAATCGAAGCACAACAAGAACCGAATCCTCAACACCGTGCGGGTGAGCACTGCCGGTCAGGGAGAAAAGTCGCCTCTAACTTCTCGGATCTGGTTCAAATGCCGACCGTCAATGCATGCGCACGGCGAAGCGCGCGACGAGATCAAGATCAAGATTCGCGCGAGACGGACAAGCGGAGCGGAAGCAGCTGCAAATTCGGCACACAGCGCGGAAAAGCGCGTGCTCGATTGGCACAGGGGCAGGCTCGGCCTCCGATCGCCTCCTCATCTTCGCTCCGATTCACCGAAGCCTCGATCGCGTTGCGATGGCGGGGCTGGCGACAGCCTCCGAACGCGCAGAGGGCCGAGCACGGCGAGGGCGGAGGGGCTGCATTTCATGGAGCGTAGAAGCGTCGGCGCGAGGTAGTGGGAGTCATAAGCAGGCAGCGCAGTGCTCTTGATTCTCTGCCCCCACGCCTGCTCCACTTGCCATGGCGGGACTGCCTGCACTCTGCCACCTGTTCACCACCGTGCGATACCCTAATCCGACGGTCCATGATTTTATGGTTTGGATGTGAAGGACTGCCATCTAAACCCTCAGACAGGAAAGGTCAAAGCCCTTGATGCGCTCCCGCTCCGCTCGCATCGCTTGAACCTCCCATCCTCGACCTTCTCTTGCCGGTCACCTCCTCTTCCTTCTCCCCCTCTCTCTCTCTCTCTCGCTCGCGCCTTCGAGCCTCGGGCTCGGGCAGGGGCAGCCTCGTTTGCTGCCCGAGCGCGAGGCCATTCTTCATCGTCAGAGAGTGTTCGCAATCTACCACTGACTGCCTCGTTGACAGCTCTTTCCCGTGGGCAGATTCCATGTCGCAGTGCGCTCGAGGCCGGATCGGTTGATTCATCACGTACGGTGGGCACAAAAGTTTGATCATGCACTCGATCGCAGTGGCCCCTCCACTCTTGGACATTGTTGCGGGGCTCATGTTCTGATACTGTGATGATGATCGACACTCGAACGCGGTCTACGAGTGAATTGTGCGCTAGCAACCTCGGCGACAGGGTTCTTCCTACTCTCCTTGCGTAGGTCGGTAGTGGGATTCTGAACGGACTCCAAGGCATGAGCAGCTGACTGCGATCATCGTTACTCAAGTCTCCACGTCCTGGGAATGCTCCTCGCTCGCGATCATTCGAAGGCTAACACTCTGATTTTACTATTGAACGTGAAACCAGTACCACTGTTGCCTGTTCTATACGCACATTTAATGCACCTCGAAGACATTGAGCTTTGTGAGAGTCGGACTCTTAAGTCATATGCACCCAATTTTTGTTGACCCTCGGCAGAGCTTCTCGTAGATCGAGTGTTTGGTAAAAAGCTCACGGAGTCCGGTTCAGACGTGTTACTCGTTCGTGTTTTCCTAGTCAAACGCAGCTACTCTGATTCGTCAACCGAGCCCGGAGAAGGTCCAACTGACAGTTGAAACTCAATCGGCCGATCGTCCATTAATGGCATATCAGTGCATTCAAATCACGTTCTATGGAGCTATCGTTGCAATAGCTAGTACAGCTACAGATTTGTGTATGTCAGAAAGACATCATCATTGTTGCTTCAGGACTCTTTAGATTTGGACTAACGGATCTTCAGACTTGTTCCAGGAAAGATGTACAACTTACTGTCAGAAACAGCTATGGTAACTCTGTTGCGGACGGTGACTCGTTTCTGAATCTGCCGATGGATTTGAAGTCCACCATTGTAAAGCTCGGCTCTGAGTCAATAACGATGTGATACTCGTCTGTTGAGTCTCAAACAACATGTGGTACATGAATTCTTGTATTAGTATACATGTGACGGTTTTGAAAGATTTACTCTAAACGAGGTATTGTAATCGAAAAAGGTATTGTCTTGGACGGCATGATTACATGTACGTGGAATCCTTCTGAAGTTGTTCATAGATGTTGGGAAGTATGCTCTAGTAGCAGGAGCGAAAAGGTAAACGAAGAGCAGCTAGAAAAGGAATCAAGGAAGAAGCTTCACAAGTTACAAATGGAACAACAAAACTCAGAGGACCAAAGTTGTAGACAGCTGACATCGAAGTCTCGGCTACATGATTGGAAAGGAGATCTGTCAATTGTACCCAAGCTTACCTACCGTCCAGGAAGACAGGACCGCCCTGAATGCACTGGGAAACCTACGAGGTAAGAACCAAGCGGCGAGGTCGAGGTTACGAGCTGCGAGTTCTATAGTATCACAGTAAGTGATGAAAGATGGTGGGCAAAGATCTCAATGGCAAGAGGGAGACACCCAACCACAAGGACCAATAAGATCATCTACACTAATCACCTTTATCCAATGGAAGGACAATGCAGGTTCTAAGCATACTTTGACTCAAGTCAACAATTTCAATTGTAAGAATGGAAATGTTATAAAGGTGTCTACGATCCTTCCCACTTCCTTGTTCCATGCACTGCAAAATGAACGAACGACAACACTGCGTGCAAATCTGACTGCAACCTGATAAAGTTGGTATGCTCCATGACCAACCAAACATGCAGAGCTCGATTTAGGTTGTTGCTATCGCATCACAAACCTGTTTATGATGCTGAACCGAGAACCTAGTCTTTGCAGGACTTGAAAGTCGACAGAGCAGGATATCCGACTATCCAAGGTTGAGACTTGACAGCATCCCATTAGCACTGCGAGAGGATGACAAAGGGAGGTCCGTGGAAGGCAAGGGAAAACAAAGTCAGAAATATATAGAAACGTACGAAACGAGACAGCTCTGAATGATTCTACGGCTGATTCTTCTGCATTCATTGCATTTGTCGTCTGACAGACTCCTGTCTTTTCGCAGCGTGGGCCCAGCCTCCGGAAAGTACACACAATAGCTAGAATGTAAACTTATTGGAAAGGAGATACTGTATTGAACAGAGTATGAACTGCTGTAGATCGCCGTAAGAAGATCTCGCCTTTGACCTTTCTGACAACGATCTGGAAACTTTTGTGTCCACCAGTCAGGCTATCCAGACCCTGGAGGTAGAGATCTACCTTTGCCGAGAGTGAAAACACTGCCAGCAACGGCGGCTGTTAAAGAGCGACGCTCGGAAGCTGACAAAGCTTTTCAGCTTCCGAGCTAAACATGTTCTTGTCTTCGAAGACGGATGGATGCCTTTGGTGCTTTGGACTAATGGCCTGAACCGGACTTTCCTGTGAGTTGAAACGTATTTTCCAGATGATCTTCTTAATAGGAAGAGAAACAACACTAGGAGCTGACAGTAGGAGAGAAAAGCCACTTGCGTACACCGTCCCCGATCTCAGTGAGCGGTGGCGGAAAACGTCCGGATGGATCAGAAAGAAAACTAGAGCAACCATCAGAGACACGAGCTCACTCACGGCTTGGCAGGGAGGCAAGAGCTCGAGCAAGGAGGTACACGAGCTCCACTCAGAAAAGACAAAAGCGTTTTATTCAGGAGCACAACCTGAGCTCGTCTCATCCACAACTTTAGGCCTACTGTTCCAGAATCCCTTCTCCTCGCCCGCCTCTGTTGCTTGAGCTTCAAACATGTGAGTGAACCGAACGACCTAGGTGCAGTATCTGAGCATCTTTTGTACAATCCTCTATGCCTCATAGTTGAACCTTGGAGTTGCATGTGGCGGAGTTCATGGAGAGCAAGCTGGTGACAGAACCAGAGCTGGTTAGTTCCAATCGAAGGAACTAACTACGAACAAAGTGGTCTCAATGACGATCGAGAATACGAGAGCAGGTCAGAAAGCAGTGGAGAAGGTGTTTGCTATGCAACAGGGTTCTGGCGAGGACAGCTATGCCAGGAATTCTCAGCCACAACAATTTCTCATGGAGAACATAATAGCGCCTGAACTGCTCGCAGCTCTTGACAACATGACTCTCACCCACAGTGGAAAACCGATCGTTGTGGCTGATTTGGGGTGTTCTAGCGGACTGAACACAATCAACAACATGAACCTTATACTCAACCGCCTGAAAGAGAGATTTGTAACATCTGCAGAAGTTGCTTCCGACTCCACTTCCACCGTCTTGCCAGATTTCCAAGTATTTTTCAACGACCTTCCATCGAATGACTTCAACTACCTGTTTCAACTCCTGAACGAGCACAGGCATTCGCTGGACTACTTCGCAGCGGGTGTTCCTGGATCATTCTATGGCCGGCTATTCCCACGCTCGTCTGTAAATGTCTTCTTCAGCTCGCTGTGCCTCCATTGGATGTCGAAGGTAAACCAATTCTCCTCTCTGCAACTGCTTTTTAAATGACTGATGTCTTACCTGCACGTGCTATCCTTCCTGCGGGTTTCCTTGTGCTTTCTTCGCTCTCCCACAATTTATAGTTTCGGTTGGCCGAAGTGTATACCGACAACTTTCAGACACAGTGATTGTTCTGATGAGCTTGCAAAATATGGCGCTTTACGACCCGCGACAGAAACGTTCAGGGCACGTTTGAGTACACAACCTCAAATCATCGTAGCGATAAGCAGTAGTCAAACCATGAGTTATATTTTGTGAACCTTTTATGCAACCCACTGTATTTTCATCCCCTTACGTTCTCAGCTTCAAGACTTGCTTTCACACGGACGGCAATATTGACCTTGTGACTGCTTACAACTCTTCCTGCAACTCGTGTGTCTGCCTGTCTACCGTCCAGCTACCAAAGTTTTGGCCATTTTGATGAGAGAGATGCATCAGCGTTATGTGTCACAGGTAGTCACAGACTCTGGAAATTCGCACGAATTTCACTCTCTTTCACATTTCATTATAGCCAGTAACCATCGAGTTTGAAGGCCTTGTCGCTGCAATATAGATGGGAAATACGCCAGTTGAGTTTGCGTTCACTACCACTGCCACGGTTTTTGGAGGCCATTATATGTATAGTGATAGTGAATGGCTGGACCATATAGTCGGTTCTGATTCTTAAATATTTTCCAACTCGTAAGATGATACATGGTGTGATTGATGAAGATTCTGTTCAGGCAGATCCAAAGACAGCAGGAGTCAGTCCCGTGTTAGTGAATCGCATGCTACAGCAAGATATGTTAGATCCAATGTGGATTGCAAATCATCTCTGGAGGAACGTAAGAATAACTATCTGTAAGACGTGCAACTACCTTCCTGTGTGTAGAATTGATCAGAATAACATTCGTGCTGAAGAGTTGGCGGATGGTTTGGATTGCAGATTCCCGACGACGTACTTGACAAGAACTCCCCGGCTTTCAATAAGGGCGACATGTGGATGATACGTGGACGGTCTGAGGTGGGAGCTGCGTTCAAGAAGCAAGCGGATCTGGACCTGAAGCTCTTCCTCAGCGCTCGAGCTGAGGAGATGGTACCCGGAGGACTGCTCTTCATGTTTTTCAATGGAAGAGGAGACTCTGATCCGGCGAGGCAATGGCCGATCTCGTCCTACTCGTACGAAGTGTGGAAGTGCATGAACGAAAGTTGGGATAGCATGGTCTCGCAGGTACTAACTCCATACCGACCTCCAACCTTCGTTGCCTGCTCTGCTCAGCCGTGCATTTAATATTTCACGGATAGAGATTCGCTGTTCATGACCAGAATTTGGTACTGCAGGGACACATGACAGAGGAGCACAGAGACGCGTACAATGTTCCGCTTTACTTTAGGTCGTTACAGGAGGTACGTGAAGCAATATCGAGCTGCGGGTCCGCGTTTCGGATCGAGAAAGTGATGAGGCGAGACACGGGCGGTGCGAAGGTGTCGGATCTCTTCCCCAACATTCCGCCGTCCGAGCTGCGCAAGAAGACGACGTTGTTCATGAAGAGCATGCACAGTCCGCTCGTGGAAGCGCACATCGGCAAGGAGCTTGCGACTATATATTGGCAGAATTTCGAACTCAGAATGCTGGAGAACAAAATCGACGAATTGATTCTAACCATGGAAAAGGACCCGCATTACAAACAAAACAGTGACATAAACATGGTCATCTTGATCCGCTCGTAGCACTCCACGTGGCACGAGAGATTTCCCGAATCCGCAGAGCATGTCAGTGATTCGTATCCCAATCTACTCTTTACCGGATCTGAGCTACCAGTAGAGCGGAGAATATGGGTTTCTCCCAATCAATCTCCATCGGAACTTCATGGAACTCATGAGAACACGATTCTCGCTGGTCAAAGATTATCAGCCTGTACTTTTCCTGCAGCACGTGGAGCGACCACATACGTGCAAGGCAACCACACAGAAGATGTCCTCATGAACGGGTCACGTGGCGAGGGGAGATTCATACATAGCAGTGGTGTAAAGTGACGTACACTGGGTACAGAAGATCATGAACCTGGTATGAATGATTCAGGTGTAGGCAGTGTAGAGATTAGGTTCTGAAGTTCTGTACTGTTGGACCAAGGATAGATTCAGCAGTGTTGTAATAAATTTTGCAGACTTACATTTTCCGACTGACCAGGCCGTCAATGAAGAGCATATGAGACGTGTGCTTCGTCATGTGCCATTGTTGAGAATGAGCTTTCCAAAGATTGTTGAGGCGTTTTGACCTTACATGTATATTTATGCTATCAACTTGGCCCCCTTTATTCTAATCCCAATCTTCATTTTGTATTTATAATATTTAAGATGTCAATATGTTTGATTCGTGATATGTTTAATTTGTGTGCAGTTTTATCAAATTTTAAGTTTCATATGCATCTTTGATATTGCTTATCAGCCAACAATTTTGTTACTCACTGTTTGTATTTGCGGAGAATATTTTCTATAAAATAACTTTTGTTGACGAGTGAATCAGCAGGAAACTTTAATTGTACTCTTATCTCCTATTTCTTCTATACGTATCATCATATTCAGATATCTTGGTATGTGAAATTCTTTTTTATCATGGATACAGAAATATTTGTTGATTCTGCGTGGAAATGTTATCTTTCAAAGAAGAATAATACTCTATAAATTTTTCAAAGACTCATCCTCTCAATCCACATTATCATCAAAAAAGAGGAATACATATATACGCATCTTTTTAACTAATTGATGAATCTGGACCTCAATCTTAAAGTCTTTAACCAACACTAGTACTACCAATATACATTAACTCTATCCATGAACACATGTGAAATGTTTTTTGATTCATTCATTTTTTACAAAAATTAAATTTTATGTTTTGAACTAGCTCTTTTATCTACATTCTTATTATTCATGCGTTGTATGCAAATTATTTCAACATAGATGTCTGACACTTCTACATAATTTATTGATCAACAAGAATGTAAAAATTGATTTTTCAATTCATTATAGAAGATGTGATGTTTGCAAACCTCATTTATATTGTATATATCATATGTCTAACACATGATCAACATCAAATATATGTCATTAATCCAGAAACCATTTTGAAGGTTATCAATATTAAGTATTTATTATGAGATAAGTAGTTTGTAAGTATAAGATAAAACACACATGGAGACATGCATAATCGCTAGATATATAAATATGTGGTTCAATTTGATGAGTAATCGTTGAAGTATAACATGATCCGAGATGATATATTGAGTAAAATAATCACATGATCATTTTCCGCAAAAAAATACTTTAATTACATAATAGCCTTCTTATGAAACATAAGAGTACCTAACTTGTATCAATTTTTCTATACGATTGTAAGTCTATTCTACACCAATTTCTTTACGTTGAAAAGATTACTTGTCACAATATAGAAATAAATCATTTAGCAGTTTATTTGTAATTATTATCTATAAATCATTTGACCTAAGTACTTAGAAAAAAAGAAATATTACTTATTTTGACATCATTGGGGTCTATGTTCATAAGTATGACTACAATAACATTTATGAAGGACATTTTTTTTCCATTCAAGGTATTTTTTAATCAATAAGAGTTGTTGCTGATTTAAAAATAATGAGTAACATGAATGACTAATCTTTTCATTGAAAGAAAAAATAGATCCTGAAAGCTTGAATACACAACTAGCAATTTGTTTGAAGCTGTTCAAAGTGTGATCAGTTCTGAAATTGTGTAGTTGATCATAGCTAAAAATAAAAATTGCATATGCTGAACTCATCAAGATTCTTTCAAAAAGAAAAATATATCTCCAATATAACTTCTCATGCTAGAAATTGAGTACAATGACAAATTTTTGTTGATCACATCCAAAAAAGATATAGTTACATTATTTTATCTCACCATGTCTTGTGAGAAATCCATTTAATTTGAATTAAGCTTCTAGATTAAAAAAATAAATAATCCAGATACTTACTTGTTATTTTGCTTTATAATCATGTTATATGTTTGATATGTTTCAAGCCAATCTCTCTTAAAACTTCACCAATATCATAACTCTAAAATTTCAATCTAACTGTAAATTCATCATTGATCATGTAAAAATGTTTATTTGTCATAATAATAGTTTGAAGTACTACACATATCATCATACTCTCAAAACAACCTTAACACAACACAAAAATGAATTTTAAGGATGTCTTCAAGAGATAATTTTTATTTTTAGAAAGCAAACAATATGTGTAATGAGTATAATGTATGTTGAAAAGTATAATCAGTGTTACATATACATAAGTTAAAATAGCTAAATGTAGTCTTCTTGCAAAAGATTGAAAATATTGCAAAAAATCAATCTATCCTTATTATTGTTAAAAAATAATTGCTTTAGTGGTTGACTCGTGTTATTTAATTGTTGATATTGATCTGACATTATATTTTCAAAATGACCTTTAAAGATCAAGATAGTGTATGTAAGTACGTTGTTGTGATATAGCTCCTTGATAGTTCGTACCAGCATAGCAGGAACATATTATAAGTTAATTATATTAAGCTTGCTTAACGAAGACGGTAGGAGATCGCGTCGCTTAAACTATTTGAACAAGATTTTACCAACACGCCTACTTATGCTATCTTTGATTTATGTGTGAGAGTTGCATGAATGATTATTGAAGTTGCGTGTTTGATTATTGATATATTGATAGTGCTGTCCTTTCCGCTATCAAAATATCAAAAATCACATTAGCGATCAGCATCCTACAAAGTGGCATGTACATTTGACTTGATTTGGTTGATGACCAAAATGACTTCTTCAAGGATGTTTTTGTCGTGTTCAAAAACACTATCAAGACGCATTTACCGTCTTCATCTTTTGACGCTAGTCATCAAATTATGTTGGACATCGAAAAGAATATTGTAGACGTGATTGTTGGTGACATGATGTTTGATTTGGCTGATATCATTGACAACAATTTTGATAATGATGCGGAGTAGTTCATATTTTACCATGAATGAGCACAATGTTGTAATTTGTCGACGTGCTCAAAAGGTAGCATTTGCAAAAGAGCAAGCTTTATCATTATTTGAAAGCGTGGAGCAACAATGGTATAACAAGTACGACATTAGTTATGCTTACTTAGTCATTATTTCTAAGTTGAAACCTAGTATTTTTCAATCAATGGTATGATATATGACATGCGACGCTTCATTTTGGTTGACTGCCAACCTATTGAGTTGCACTTACAATTTTTTGCACAATCTTTTTTTGCAATTGCTCTCGCAATGACATTTCCAACTTCATTAGAGTTGTGTGTGATGTCAACTTGCAACGCATGGCTCGCCATCTGTGTCATGCATGGAGTTTTTTATTGCTATGGATTTGGCAATGCATCAAAGCACATCGTATTTCAATTTTTATTCTCTAGTCTTTTTACCCACCATCCATGCATTGAAACATTATTAATCTGCATGTAGCACTGCTCTCAATGTTCATTTGGCACATTGGCAATCTCATGTTTTGGATGATTATATCTTTCTTGAATATGCTTTGTCCTGATTGGAAAGTTCGTCTACTCGGTTTGACTTTTAATTGAACCCACAACATCAGTAGTCACGTTGGTGGTAATGTCACTTGGCTCAATGCAATGCACAACGAGTATATTTTGGTTTGAATTTGGTATGAAATGCATCAATTAGAGCTCATTATGAAGCACATCATGAAAAATATCGTGAAGAAGCGCTTCTTTGAATGATGAATATCTTTGCTTGCTATGCATCATTTCATCCTAAAACAACAATTACTTTTTGCTCAATTCAGGAATTGACGACGCTATTGGATCAACAACAAGCTATCTTGTATCGTCTTGTCGTCTCTTTCATTGATGATGAACAACAAGCTATCTTGCATCGTCTTGTCGTCTCTTTCATTGATGATGTTGGTCTTATTATGTTGCTTGCTCTAATGTGAATCCTTTTGCATCAAATCACGTCATCAACGATCGCTATGTCGTTTCATTATCTTCTGTCCAAGAGTTTGTCAACGGTTTGATTTACTGTGCTGACTTTATTGTTGACGAAGTTCATCAAGACCAACAGGATAAACTTTGAAACCACATTGTTTAATTTTATGTCATCACTTGCGATAAAATTAATGAAATCTGCACCCTTTGCAATGCAAAAAAATAACGCCATAGTCAATCTATCTTCTTTTTCATTTGTGCTATCGCTTGAGATTTTCAAACTATTGGTTATCAAGTTTATTTGGAAAACCCGCGAGTACAGTTAACTAGAGCATCATTATTCAGCATGATATATTGATGTTATCGCCGACAAGCATATAATTCTACTTCATGCTTATTGATCTAAGCTAGTCCTCAAGTAGAGCAGTGATGAATTGTGTAGTCGATAAATTTTCAAGGATGTTTGAAGTATAATAGGATGCAAATTTCTAAACCTAATAGAGTTTTGTGGCGTCCAATTCATGGTATTTCCTGGAACCAGCAGTGTGGAGTCAAATTTTTCCATTTTGCTATGGGAGAAGTAAAACTTTTGCAAGAGCTTGTTGGATTTTGCTCTCGTCAAAGCTATAGATGTTTATTGACCAATTTTAGCAATGATTTGCACTCTAAATGCTTTATAAAACTCACATTTACAAACCACCTAAACTAAATCCAAACGAAGTTCTCTAGAGACACAAAATTAAGCTAATTTAGGCGCCCGACTAGACTAAGCAGGCCTGATTGTAATTCATGAACAAAGAAATGTCAACATTCATGCAAGTCACCTTACAAATTCAGTACATTTTTAGCGTTCACCAGTTATTGTAAAAGGAAAATGTCTCAATTGTAACTAAAGGATAACTAATTGAGTCTCTGCCTCTATATGTTCCTATCCAGAATTTCCAAAAACAAATATATCAAACCAAAGACTACACGGTACTCATAAGGGGATCACAAGAGGTAGGAGATGGCCATCATAATAGAGGGGAGGAGAAAAGAATGCTACAAACTTGAAATCTAAAGCTCAAGAAATAGCATTTATTTACTATCCACTTGTACTTTATGGTATTTTCTACTTTTTTTCTTTCATGTATTTCCATAAGCTTATTTCGCCAGAATAATAGATCAAAGAGGTACTATGTACACATGTAACAATCTGATGAAAACATTAGTAAGTTGTGAGATGAATGAAGCAGTCGTTAAAAAGCTATATAAAAGAATCATCTTTCTGAAACTAAACAAACGTGGAATATCTTTTGACTCTTCTTTTCAGTTTTCATAGTTTAAAAAATCAGTAGTGAA